GCCTGACTCCACACAAGGGGGGGAAACAGCCTCCCTTATAGCCGTTAGGTTGAGGTGTGCACCCAGGATAGTGGTGGCCGTTTTCTCCCTCTGCCCAATGCACAGAAGGAACAGGGATCTGCCATCTCCCAGATGAGTGTCCTGAGAGGGGAACGAGCTTTCCCTCATAACCTTGAGCCCCAGTGGTTAGGGGGCCTCATGTAGACTGTAGTAGATGATGGTTTAATCCTCCTCCCCACCAACGTCCTATAAGAAGGGAGAGGAACAGGGATCTGCCATCTCCCAGATGAGTGTCCTGAGAGGGGAACGAGCTTTCCCTCATAACCTTTAGCCCCAGTGGTTAGGGGCCTCATGTAGACTGTAGTAGATGATGGTTTAATCCTCCTCCCCACCAACGTCCTATAAGAAGGGAGAGGAACAGGGATCTGTCATCTCTCAAGTGAGTGCCCCCACCTAAGGATATTTTGATGTGGGTTGTGCATCCTCTGTTGTTGAAACTGTTCCACTTTAATTAACTCTGAATTGGGCCACAGACAGCCGGAGAATCACTCTATCGTCCATGGTTTGGGTAGTCACCAAGGCTGGGGGAGAGTGATGCTTGATGAAAAGAAATCTGTATAGCACCCACCTACCTCTCACATGGCTGTCCCAACTGCTGGGTACTCTGCTGTGAGGGCTCTTTCAACCTTTCCTGTTGAAGCTGTTCCACTTTAATTAACTATGAATGGGGCCAAAGCAAGCTCTAAAGATAAGAAGTGTGCTGTAGCTCAGTGGAGAGGGCTCTTTCCAGGGATGCTGGTTCAAGTCTTTCCCGTGCCTGGTGAGGGACAAGGATTTGAAGAGGGAGTGCCCTCAACCTTTCCTGTTGAAGCTGCTTCCACTTTAATTAACTCTTAAATGGTCCAAAGCAATAAATAATAATAATTAATGGAGATATCCCATCTCCTAGAACTGGAAGGGACGTTGAAAGGTCATGGAGTCCAGCCCCCTGCCTTCACTAGCAGGACCAAGTACTGATTTTGCCCCAGATCCCCAAGTGGCCCCCCCCCAGGATTGAACTCACAACCCTGGGTTTAGCAGGCCAATGCTCAAACCACTGAGCTATCCCTCCCCCAGGGAAGGATAGCAAAGATGATTTACAAGCAGCCCTATATAGCCTGGTGGTGAGGGCCTGCACCTATGGTGCTGGAAAGCCTGGTTCAAGTCCCTGGTCCTGAAGGAGCTAGGATTTGAGCCATGTGTCTCTTGAAGCTGTCTCCACTTTAGTTAACTAGGAACTGGGCTGGGGAATAGTCTAGGGTCACTGTAGTCCAGTGGTTAAGTTACTTGCCTAAGAGGTAGATGATGCTGGTTCAAATCCTTCCTCTGGCTCTTTAAAAGGATTTGGAGAAGGTTGTCCCACCTCCCAGGGGAGAAGTGGGAGGTTCCTGTTTAAGTCCCCTTCCGCTTGCGGAAGGCCCTTGTCTTTCTGGAAACAGAAGGAGGTTTGAACAGAGATCACTCACTTTACAAGTGTGGTGGGCAGTGGCTGGGAGGCGGGAGGTCTCCTGGAAGGTGGGAGAGCCTTGGCACAACCCCTTGCAGAGGAGGGGTTGGGCCTGGAGTTTCCCAGAGCCTGGGCGGGTAGCCTAGCTGCAGGGGACAAAAGAGTGGCTTGTTTTTTAAACAGGACACTGCCCCCGTCCCCACATTTAAGTAAAAGGCCCCAGAGGCAGCTGATACATGTTGTAAACCCCTTCCCCACCACAAGGATTGAACCAAGGCCCTCAGCATCCCAGGGGAGTGCTCAAACCTCTACACCAGAGAAGGCAGCTCTTTAGAAGAGCTTGCTTTGGAGCAATTCATAGTTAATTAAAATCAAAGCAGTTGCAACAGGAAAGGTTAAGGGCACTCCTTCTTCAAAGGCCTGCTCCTCCAGACATAGGAATTGAACCCACATCCTCAAATGGAAATACCCCAACCTCTGACCTACAGAGGGTGTCTCATTTTCATATCTTGCTTTGGCCTAATTAATGGTTAATTAAAATGGAACAGCTTCAATAAGAACCACTGCTCTAGATCATAGTTGGAGACAGCTCAGTAGATTTTCATTGGTGCTGCACCTTTTAGCAACTGGCAATGAATCTTTTAAGGTTCACGTTTATGGTCCTGTACATTATAAGTAACAACGTGGGGTGGAGAGCCATGATGGAGGCTGTAACTCTTCCTGTATTGTCTTTTTAAAAGCTTACTTTTAGTCAAAGTATCATCATTCATTGAAATTTGTAATTAAAGGGGGAAATAAAGCCATTAGGCCAAATCCTGAAGCCCTTCAGACTGCAAAACTCCTACAATGGGTTTGCCCAAGCAAGGAAGAGCTTTTCTAGATGTGCTCCATTACCTGTGTGTTATGGTTCTGTACCATTTGGCCTAGATTTGTGCATATACAAATCCCAGCAAGCTGTGGTGGTTTTATAGCTCCCTTCAGCACAAAACCAGGTCTGATAATGCTCTCAAGAGGTGCAGCTTGTCAGGAAATTGTTTAAGCAGCTCTTCTCTTGTTCTAATGGGGGTAAATTGAGATGTATTAGCTTCAAAGCTTCCCTTTCAAAAACAAACACTGTTCAGTAGCCCAGCTCAGTGACAGAATCTGATTCACGTTCTGCAGTTATGACCAAAGCTGAGAGCAGGATTTGGCCCACACTACGTAACAAGTTATTGCTTTGCCAGCTCTGAACATTTTGGCCCTATGCTCTTCAGGACAAGGCCTATGGTATGTGTGCTGTGCCTAGCACAATGGGGCATCCCTGCCCTTACCCTAAAACTGTTCTGTGCTAAGGAGCAGTGAAGTCGCCAGGCAGTTTGTCCAGTTTCAATAGGACATATCAAATACCAGTGAGACAAACACACCACCAACCAATGCATCGATACACCTATTCAGTTGCCCTGCTGAGCTGCTCTGTTGTTTTGAACAAAGGGTGACTGACAGGTTACCCATTGTGCCTCTGGGTGCACCATGTGCCACTCTGATCCCTGGGAAGTCACATGCACATCTCATAGGACGGAGCCACCCCATCGACTGGCAGTACACCTTGAATCAGTCTTTGCATTTGGAAAGCAAGCCACATCACCATAACCACGTATTTCAAAGCGCCAAATGGGACCTGCCAACAAGTCCCCTCTACACAAAGCTCTAGGATGTAAGGGCAAAATCTTGTCCCTAGTGCTGTACGCAAACAAGTTGTACATTCCAAGAGCCATCCAGGTTGTGTGGCTTGGCCCCAAGTGGGCAGGAATGCATGGGGGGGCAGGGAGTGCAGGCTGCTGTATATATGCACATCCTAGCCAAAAGACACTCTTGGGGAGCTGGGTGATCTTCCGAGTTCTCACAAAAGCTAGGCAGGAGCACTGGAACAAGGGGGCCCAGGTCCCCATCACTTTTAAAAGTGACAGCCCTCCCACTTTTTACCGGCTGTAAGGGCAAGCGAAGGGGAGGGGAGTGAGCGGAGGGCAGGGTCTTGGGGGGAAAAGGCAGCATGGGAGCGGGGCCTTGAGGGAAGGGGAAGGGGCAGCGCTAGGGCAGGGGCTCAGAGTGCCATGAGGGTGGGGCCTCGGGGGAAGGGGCAGTGCAGAGGGTAGGGTTTGGGCACCGGTGCCCCCCCCCTTTAAGGAGCCTCTGCCATTCCTGACTCTAGGGAGTCTCCTGCTGCCACAGGAGATACGCTAAAGGTGGAAAAACCCTTCCTGTACCTCCAAGCATATCCATGCAGTGCAGGTGTTAGAAATCCCTGTACACTGAGGACTGTTTCCTCCGATTGCTAGGAGCAAAACAGATATCCTAACAAGGGGGTTGACAGGCTTGGAAGAAAATTAGGTAAAACTGCAAAATATCACAGGGCCACCTGTTCAATAACCGCACCTCATATTGGCTCTTCCATGTGTAACCGTCCTGCCAAAAGATGAATTAATGCCAGCCAGGTGCTTGGCCTTATGTGGTTTTATTGTATCTTCATGTTAGTAAACCAGGCCCTCTCTGCTCTGCAGTAGATTACAAGGTAGCAGTGGCAGGATATCTTACTGGACATTGTTATAAACAGAACAGCAGTTGCAGTTTTTCTTTGGTGGGGGAAAGACCTTGACCAGCCTCTCTGTATAACAGGAAACAGACTTCAGGGATGCAAGCGCAGAGGGTTGGTGTAATGATACCCACAAAAGGTACCTTGGTAGATAAACTACACATACAAGTTATGAAATTGGGTCAAGAACACCAGTTCTTCGTCTCCAAAACACAAGTGTATACCATGTGAGCCAAAGGAGATTGCCTGTTACAAACTGTGGTGGTAAGTCTAGCCCCCACAGAGCAAATATCTCCGACAGCTAGTGATGGGACACTGCTTTGGGAGATCTGTGAGTTACTACAGAGAATTCTTGGGCAGGTGCCTAGCTGGTGGGTCTTGTCCACATTCTCAGGGTCTAATTGATCACCACATTTAGGGTCGAGAAGCAATTTCCCCCCATCTCAGATTTCCAGAGAGCCTGGGGTTTTTCACAACATGGGACCCGAGCCCCTTGCAGGTTTAAACTAGTGTAAATGGTGGAGTCACTGTAACTTGAAGTGTTTATACCATGATTTGAGGACTTCAGTCACTTGGCGAGAAGTTATGGGTCTATTACAGGAAGAGGTGGGTAGGTGAGGTTCTGTTGTCTGCAATTTGCAGGAGGTCAGACTAGCTGATCACGATAGTCCCTTCTGACAGTAGGTATGATATGCACACTGCACTGGTCTGGTTCCCATGAGCAGAGAATTATCAAACTGCAGTACACGCATCTCAGTTAATGAATAGACATGATTCGGTTGCATCCAGTGTTGGATTCACATGCAGAATTGTTCTGAGTTTTAATGTGCTTATGAAACCCCCAGTGCTGGTGCATGGTTTTTAATGCAGTTTTTGTTCCATCAGCATCTGAGCTTTGTGTGTGTATCTTTATTATGTCAGCCACCCTGCAACATGTACCATGTTGTAAGGTATGTTGTCTTTTCTTTCCTTCTCCATCCTGGCCCCATCCTCCTCCCAAGTACCCAGTGTCCCCAGGTATTTCAGAATCCGACAGCCTAACCTGGAAACCATCACTTTGGAATGGGGCCACCCTGAACATCCCAATGGAATTATCACTGGATACAACCTTAGATACCAAGCCTGTACGTTCCACACCTGTTTGTTTTTCTCAACTGATCAGTGATTTTTAACTCATCAAGTGTTCTCTTGGGTGAGTAGGTTATTCAGCGCCAAACCCAGAAAGAGTTCCTCTTCCCAGGTGCTAAAAGGTATTTTCCAAAATATGATGGCACAAGAGTAGCCTTTAAAGAATTAGCGACTTCCATGACAAGGTAAAACATTTGCTATTTCTGAAGGCGACAAGTCCTGCTGCAGTGCTGAATGCCTGCACCATTTCAGTGTAAGCCGGTAGGGGTTGCAGGTGCTCAGCATCTCCCAGGACTTAGCCATAGGGGGAGAAATAAGGTTTAGCCCCAGACTGCAATAATAAATTGCAAGCAAAGTCTAAATACAGTGAAATTGGTACAGCAGATTCTTTCTCTCTCTCACTCATACACACACACGCACACACACACCTGGAAGATTACTGCAGAAAGAGTCAAGTATCAGAGGGGTAGCCGTGTTAGTCTGGATCTGTAAAAGCAGCAAAGAGTTCTGTGGCACCTTATAGACTAACAGACGTATTGGGGCATGAGCTTTCGTGGGTGAATACCCCCTTCGTCGGATGCTCCAATACGTCTGTTAGTCTATAAGGTGCCACAGGACTCTGCTGCTTTTGCAGAAAGAGTGAAACTGCCCCCACAGAATCCCCAAACAGTATGGAATTCAACGCATTGCAGATGGCCAAATATCAGGGCTGTGCACAACACAAAAATCTTATTGTGAGAGCTTAAGCAGGACACGTACCAGCCCTCTGCATGGGTATGAATCTCATCTCTAGCCTGCAGGGGTGCTGGAAAAATTTGTATAGTGGGGGGGTGGAGGGTTGAGAGCTATTGAACCGAACTGTAAACCCTGGATGTAGTGGAAACCACTTCAAGCCAGAGGGTGCAGCAGCGCCCTCCGCACCCTAGTTCCAGCACCTGTGCTAGCCAGTACAGTTCAGCTGCACCATTACTCAATGCACATCCCCCTAGGAGGCAGCTGGCTGCTGTTGCTCTCTCAGACAGGTTTTGTTGCATCTCCACAAATCTTTCTATTGAGCATAGTCAACCCAGAAGCATATTGGACCATCAGCTGATTTTCCAGGGTGGGAGGAGATGAAATGTGTAACATAGCATGTGTCTGAAACAAAGCTGAAGCCTACACAGCTTGCCTTTCTCCCCAGTTAATGGAACCAAAACGGGCAGAACGCTGGTAGAGACCTTCTCCCCCAACCAAACAAGGTTTACGCTCCAGAGGACAGACCCCATATCGCGCTATAGATTCTTCCTGCGTGCTAGGACACAGGTGGGAGATGGAGAATCCATTGTGGAAGAGTCGCCAGCCCCACTGAATGAAGGTAGGTGGAGGACAGCGTTGCTGTGACTTTGGGGGTGGGATACATGCTCCCAGAGGAGTTAACACATGAGGAGCATTATGCATGTCTTCCAAAACTACAGACTACACTGAAAATCACATACAGAATGTGGTTTTACTAAGGGAACGGGTAACTTTCTCACCATGACATAAGCAGAACCAATAGTCCCTAAGCAAGAAAGTTCTACTCTGTGTCTCAGTTACCCATCTGTAAAATGGGGATAGCACTGTTAAGGATGTTGTGCAGATAAAATCCATGCATGATTGTGAAGTGCTCAGATACTACATTAATGAGGGCCATACGAGTACCTAGTTAGACAGGCAAATGTAGTGACTGCTTTTCCAAATTGAGGCACTTAAGGACTGCCATAGTGCATCAGAATAATGGTCCATCTAGCTCAGTATCTTATCTCCAACAATGGCCAGCACCTGATGCTTCAGAGGAAAGTGCAAGACCCCTCAGAGAGGACAATTATGAAACAATAACCTGCCCTTATGGGAAGTTTCTTCCTGACCCCAGGCAGTTAGTGGTTGTCTTATGCCCTGAAGCAGGAGGGTTTATCTCTTTTACAACTACAGAGAGATGTTTGCTGTATTCACAGCAGTAAACTCTGTCTTCCTGATGGCACTCTGCCTGCCCCTTCATGTGCTGTGTAGTATCACTTACATATATCCTCTATGGGGAAACAGCGTATGCAGAGTGAGAGACTCTCTAGTAGGCTTTTTCCACCTTAAAGAAGATTTAGGTCAGATATTAAGAAAACTTTTTAACTACAAAGATAATTAAGCACAGGAAAGGGTTACCTAGGGGAGTAGTGGAATCCCTGGCACTGGAAATTTTAAAGACCGGGTCAGACAAAATTCCCATCAGGGATGGTCTAGAACCAATTTTACTTGGTCCTGCCTCAGTGTGGGAGGCTGGATTAAATGACCTCTTGAGATCCCTTCCAGCCCTACATTTCTATGACCCTTTTACTGTAGCTCCACATGGAGTTCACCACAGAAATGTTCAGTGCAGATTCCAGAAATGGTATTTACATTGAAAAACCTCTTTGAACAATACTGCTGTGTCGATGTTATGCCTGGGAGACAATGGGCCAGAGTGATCCAGTGAGGACGTATCAGTGGGATACAAAAACGTAGCTGGGTGATCTAATCATTGGCAGGCTGCTAGGGAATCCCTGCAGTTTGACAAGCTGCTAGATCTAACGAGAAGCAGCACCTCCACTGGATTTCATTGCCCAACCTGGTACGCTGTCAGGGTATATTGGGAATGTTGGTCCCTAGCTACTAGCCCACAGGCAGGAAGAAGAGGCTGTTGGGGCTTTGCACTCAATCTGGCAAAAGAAATGAAGGGAGTGAGGAAAAAATCCAAGTTAATTCATGGGTTTTGGCGATCGCTGTGTGTTTAGTCATTAACAGTGGGGTTTATACCAGGATATTTATAATTGACCTTCAAAAGCTACAACATACAAGTATTTTGGCATTTGCACGAGGAGGGTCCAGCAAAGAGGAGAAAACTTTGACCCAGCCAGTGTCAGGAGATCTAGTTTATCAGTATAACTAGGAAGACAATCAAAGGGACACAGGGCTGTTGTCTAGTGGTTAGAATCAGAGCTGACAGGGTTTAAATTTGGGGTGGGAGGGTCCACTTAATCCATCCCCCAAAGGAACTGTGCCATTGATCCACAGAGGTGCTTCTACTGAGCTGAGCTCTCTCTTTTTCCTGGAAGAGAGTGTACACTTCAGATAGCCACCAGAGGGAACTATCGAACAGCATTTGCCCCAAGCTTGGAATTCCTCTGAAATAGCTTTGTATCTTCCTTGCAGTTACAAAGTGCATTTCTGAGACTATGCCAGTATGTAGAACGTGGGGAACAGCCTCTCTTACTTTTGAGGTGCCCAAACTCTGAAGTAGAATAGCTCACTACTGTGTAACTCTGGGTAGGGTTCTGTTGACAGAGAAACAAGGTGGGTTGGCACTCTTGGACTGAGCTATTGCCAGCCTAGAAAGAGAAAGTGTAGTCAACAACTGTGCTCAATAATCGGCATCCTGTGTTCTTTGCAAGGCCTACTGCATGCTACAGCTTGACCCAGTCTAGCAACAACCATCTTCAGATACAGATGTTAAGTACAGTTCTTCTTCGAGTGATTGCACATGTCCATTCTAATACAGGTGTGCGCACACCCCAAGCACGGTTGGTGGAAATCTCTCTCTCAGTGGTGACTTGTTGGCTCTGGTGCTCCATAGTGTAGGTAGAAAGGGCCAGGCTAACCCTGCGCTCCATCAGTTCTTTCTGAATGCGGTGATGGTCACTGGAACTACTCTCCTTGCTGCAGCAAGCTTTTCTCAGTGGTCTTCATTTTTTCTCCATTTTTCTTCATACTGTACATAGAGTGTAAATAGTTATTAGTTTTGTTGGCGCTTCTCCGTAACTTAGTGGAGTTTTGGCCTGTCCCCAGTGCTGAGGCATGCCTTTGTCACCAGGCTTCAAGCCGAGGCATTTGCTGGGCCACAGATCTGCTGGTGCTCTTGGTACCACCGTTGCCAACTGTACAAGAGTTGGCGGCCTTGGTGCTGGTGGGTAGGAGGGAATGGGTAACCTCCAGCTGCTATCCGGTTCCGGGCTCCGCGGTACCACCTAGAGGGAAACCGTCCTTGCTGGTCTTGGCGCAAGCTTCCCCGCCCCAGCACCCATCTCCAGCACTGGTGGGAAGTGCACCTCCATGGATCCCGGAGGAAGGCTCATCAGAGTCGGTGGTTGACTGGTACTCTTCTCGTCTGAGGAGCCCTCATTATCCCTCCTGCCATCCCTACCCCGCTGTGGATCCTGGACAGGAGTGCCATGGAGCGCTTGGTCTAGCAGTCATAGGCCTATACGGTGGCCCTTTTGGAACCTCTGGGGGTTCCCCCTGATGCCAGGGCCCCATTCTCTGCCCCATCATCCCAGTCAAGACCTGCAGAGGAAACGGAGTAGGGGTTTTAGGCACGGTCACTCCTATCTACCTCACTGTCAATATCTGCCCCTCCCAGACACCCAGGGGGTTCAAAGCAGACCTCTTGATGGGACACTCAAGGGTGTTATACCAGTTCCTATCTCACCGGATCTTCTGTCCCCTTTATTTTCAAACCACCTGTCCCCATAGGTGCTGGAACTAGGGGTGCTGCGGGTGCTGTAGTACTCCCTGGCTTGAAGTGGTTTCCATCATATGCAGGGTTTACAGTTTGGTTCACTGGCTCTCAGTACCCACACTATAGAAATGGTTCCAGCACACCTGTCTGTCCCCCTTCAGCACAGCGTGGTCTCATATCACCAAGGATCATTAGGTGCTGAACATGGTGGAAGCAGGTTATATGCTCCAATTTATTTCTACCCCCTCACCCTGTCCCTTTTCAGGGACCCCTCTCACAAGCAGTTTCTAGTCTAGGAGGTACAAGCCCTCCTCAGAGTGGGAGCTATGCAAAAGGTTCCACAGAATTTAAGAGGGAAGGGGGTTTACTCCCATTCTTCCCTAATTCCGAAAGCAAAGAGTGGTCTCAGACCTAGTCTAGACCTCCACTGTCTCAACAGCTACCTCAAGAAACTGAAGTTCCCCATGGTCTCTCTGGCTTCCATTATCCCCTCTCTGGATCCTAATACGTTGCCCTCGATTTAAGAGAGGCCTATTTTCACGTTTCGATTTTCCAAGTCCACAGAAGATTTCTCAGATTTGTCATCAGCCAGGCCCACTAACCAATTCATGGTTCATCCATTCGGCCTGTTGGCGGCCTCACAGGTGTTTGCAAAGTGCATGGCGGTAGTGGTGACCTGCCTGAGAAGACAGGAAGGGCAAGTCTTCTCGTATCTGGATGACTGGCTAGTCAGGTCGGTCTAAGGTTCAGGTAAAGTCCAGTATCCACCTCATTTCAGTCAACTTTCCAGGCACTGCGTCTGCTAATGAACAAGCAGAAATCTATCCTCACTCCAGTGCTGAAGATAGAGTTTATCAAAGCGATGTTTGACTTCACCCAGGCCACGGCCTCCCTCCCAGAATGCTGGTTTCAGGCAATCACGTGACAAGTAGTGCACGTCAAGGTCCACCCCATTATGACAGCCCATTTCTGTCTCAGGCTTTTAGGTCACATGGCCTCATGCACGTACATGGTGCAGCATGCCAGGCTACACTTCAGGCGCATTCAGGCTTGGCTGGCCTCAGCGTACTTGCCGAATCACCACCATCTAGACTCGGTTCTCACATGTGTTCCCCAATCCTTGTTTCCCTCAATCAGTGGCTGGATCCTCTGACGGTTTGCACAGGCATTCCCTTCGCCCAGCCCCAACCTTCATTATCCCTGATCTCGGATGCATCAGAGCTAGGCTGAGGAGCTCACCTGGGGCTACTTATGACCTCAGGCCAATGGTCCCTGGAAAAGCATCAGCGTCAGAGAGCTCAGAGCAGTCACCTCGCATTGCAGGCAGGAGCATACTAGTGCTCATGGATAACACTGCAGCCATGCTCAATCTCGACAGACAGGGAAGAGCTCACTCTTCCCCCCGTGTCAGGAAGCAATTTGCTTATGGGAGTTTTGCATAGTCCACTCAATCCAGCTTGAGGCTTCTCGCCTTCTGGGAGCGCAGAACAAGCTGGCAGATCACCTCAGCAGATCTTTCTCCAATCACCATGAGTGGCTCCCTTGCCCAGACATCGTGAGGGATATTTTCCAGCGGTGTAGGACTCCCCCATAGACCTGTTTGCGACCAGACTCAACAGAAAGCATCACTAGTTTTGCTCCCTGCAAGGTCACAGCCCAGGGTTCACTTACGGATGCCTTCTTGCTCCTGTGGACAGGGCACCTGTTCTACACTTTCCCTCCTATCCCGCTCATGCACAAGGTTCTGCTGAAAATCAAGCTGGACAGGATGTGGGTCATTCTCATAGCCTCAGCCTGGCCCCGTCAGCACTGGTTCGCCATGCTGCTAGGCCTTTCCTTAGCAACTCCAATGCTGCTCCCTGTACTCCCCAACCTGATATTCCAGGACCACAGTTGACTGCTTCATCTGAACTTCAGCGCCCTCCACCTGACAGCGTGGAAGCTACATGGCTAAATACCATAGAGCTGGCCTGCTCGGAGCAGGTCTGCTAGGTCCTGTTAGGTAGCAAGAAGCCCTCTCCCAGGGCTACATACCTCTGCAAATGGAAGCGGTTCTCCATTTGGCTTCCCAACACGGTCTCTTACCCATGCAGTCATCACTACAGGCCGTGCTGAGTACTTGTTACACCTGAAACAATAGGGGTTAGCGATTTCATCGATTATGGTACACCTCACAACGATTTCAGCATTCCATCCCCCGCTGGATAACCGTTCCGTTTTCTTACATGAGAGGTCTCTTCGTTTCCTCAAGGGCCTAGAAAGATTTTACCCACAAATACGCGAGCCAGTCCCTCCATGGGAACTAAGCCTGGTCCTATCAAAACTTTCAGGCCCTCCGTTTGAACCGCTCGCAATGTGCCACCTGTTATACCTTTTCCAGAAGGTGGCCTTTCTGGTGACTAATACTTCAACCAAGAAGGGTCTTGGACATCCACACTCTTACATCAGAACCCCCATACACAATCTTCTTTAAGGATAAGGTGCAGCTGCACCCTCACCCTGTCTTCCTCCTGAAGGTGGTTTTGCAGTTTCACAGTAATCAGTCAATCCTCTTGCCGGTTTTCTGCCTGAAACCACACATGAACAGGGAGGAGCAACATCTCCACCCTTTGGACCTCAGAAGTGCCCAAGCATTCTACATAGAGACGACCAAACCATTCCGTAGATCCACCCAACTCTTCATAGTGGTAGCTGACAGGATGAAAGGCCTCCCCATCTCAACTCAGAGGATCTCATCCTGGATCACACTGTGCATTCGCACATGCTATGAGCAGGCAGGTGTTCCACCACAAGCTATCCTGACTCCACAAGGGCACAAGCATAATCAGCGGTGTTCCTGGTCCATGTCCCTATGGAGGACATCTGCAGAGCAGTGACTTGGACATCAGTGCATACATTTTCTACTCATGACACCATCATTCAACAGGCCAGAGATGATGCCAGTTTCGCTCGAGCTATGTTGCAGTCAGGATGTCTGTGAACTGCGAGTCCACCACCTATACAACTGCTTGGGAGTCACCTACATTGGAATGGACATGTGCAATCACTCAAAGAAGAAAGAAGGGTTACTAACCCTTCAATAACTGTTGTTCTTCGAGACATGTTGCACATATCCATTCCAAGACCCACCCTCCTGCCCTTTTTTCAGAGTTGGCCAGAAAGAAGGAACTGAGGGGGCGCGAGATCAGCTGGGACCTTTATACCAGTGCCATGAGCGCACTGCACCAGAGGGCGCCAGAGCCAACCCGACGGGTACCACTGAGGGAAAAATTTCTGGTGACTATGCTTGGGGTGTTCACATACCTACATTGGAATGGACATATGCAACACGTTGCGAAGAACAATAGTTACGGAAAGGCTAGTAACCGTTTTTTCCACCAAAACCATGCTGCTTGACAACCCTTTATCAATATCCCTCGTCCAACAGGGATTTCATTTATTGTGGTGAGCTATTGTAACCCATGTTAGGTTAGGCCCCAGGCTTATCTGGATAAAGCGCTTTCTGAATATAAACCCCCAACTGTATTACGTTTTTAGGTTTTTGGAAAGTTCAAATCACAGCACTAACAGTAGCTATTTCACCCTAGCAACTCCCCTGTGCTAAGCATCACACAACAGTGCCCATATATTTTCTGCCAATCTTAAATTGTTTTTATTGGTGCAAGGAGAGTTATAAAACAAATGCATTCTCCAGTCCACAAAACCCTAAGAGCCACTGCAGAGACAGGCTGGGGGAGGCATGGTGCCACTTTCCCATCACCCCAGCAATCAACAGACGACCCGCAGAAGGAAACAGCCACAACTCACAGATTCATAATAGGATAAAACGCCCATTGTGAGACATCGATCAAATGGAGTGAAAGGTCAGGAGCCCTTAGGGATGGAAGACAGACAAAGCTGGCTCTTTCCCTTCTATAGCATTTGCTAACAGACATACAATTCAATTAAACTTCCGATTTTATTTAATGAGTGTTTGCTTTTCTTTTTCCTCCTTAATTGTGGTGGGTGGGAAAAGTATCCTATTGAAAATACAGTAGAAATGAAAGGCTTTCTACGTCTCTTTAAGCAGACGGGCTCCAGAACTGTTACACAGTATTGTAATAATGGCAAAACTGACGTTCAGTGGCCTGGGTCCCTGCCATACACTGTATTTTTCTGACGCAGCGGCTTCCATGAATGCCCTGCTTAGAGGACAGGTACTGGATATGGATAACAACATCCCATAAGTTTGTTTGTTCCACATATGCTTGTTATTCACTTTGCTGGGTCACTGATAGTTATACTTTCCTAACAGATCTGTGATGTTTGCCCACAGCTATCCCACAGTGCTAGCTGAGATGCACTGCATTTCCTTTCCATTACTCAGAATGAGAAATAACTATCTCAGCTGTAAATACGGTTGTGAATTGTCAGCCCAAAAAAGGCAAGTTTCCCTTTCCTTGGTAAAGGCAGACAATGGCACTCATTGAGAGTGGGCTTTGACAGCTCAACCAATCCATTATCCATTAGTGAAAACAAAGAGTAAGGGTGAGATCTGCTCATCTCACTTACTTATGCAGTCTCACTGAAGCCGCATGAGTAAGGCGAGCAGGATTTGGCCCTAGAACATGAGAGCTGGTATGTATCTAACACAAGGCTAGGTTGGGCAGGATTTCATTAATGAATGGTATGTAACCTCAGTAAACAGAATGTTGTTTAGCAGCTTTAAATGAGTTTGATTTGATTTTTTACATACCTGCTATAGACCCCCTAAAAAGAACTTGGAACTCAATGGAAGAAGGTTCAGAAAACCAACCCTTGAAATCAACTGCTTTAGTTCTGTCTTCAGAGATGGATACTAGACTCAATCATAAATAAACGTATCCAGGTGTTGCTTCCATTTCTGTCAGGCTGCATTCAACCACGAGGGTAAAATTAAACACAGTTCTGTTTGATTCATTGATTACAACAGCTTGGGTCAGTTTCACAGTATGTACGTAATACGCCCTGAAGTTGGGTTTTACAGCAAGCTGAACGTGGAGGGTCCAATTTTGTCCTCCCTTGAATGAGATGTAAGCACATGCTTGAATGCTTTAATCAAAGCCGCACACCAGGACAGAACCTGACCATTAGCATCCATTTGCTGGCAGGGTGGGGTGTGTTTAACTGGGAATGATGATTCATCTCTGACTCAAAGGGAATCTTCCTTCTCTTTGTCCTATGCAAATAGCTATAGTTATTATGTACAGAAAGGTGATTGCTGGGGGGCAGCTAATGCATTTTCTTTCTCTCTTAAAACCTTTGGTGACTCTGTGTATGACTGATCCCCACTCTCACTAATGTGCTGTGGTTTTATATATTCCTTTGTTTTCTCTTCCCCTCTCTTCTCTGCTGTCCTTGTATTCCCCTCCCTATACCTGGCGCTGCACTCTGAAGCCACTCCAACCCCAGGTACTGTACCAACTGGAGGAGGAGGTAACAGGCATGGGGCAATGCACAGTCAAGGGCTGTCTCTAGGGTGTGCTGGCACTTAAGCATGCACTATGTTAACCCTTTCAGTGAGCAAACTAAGCTATCAGAGGATAAATTGGCTGTAAAACACTGGTGTGGCGAACAAAGCACCACAAAGAGAAGAAAATATTATGGTACTACAATTAAGGTTGCAAGCATCAATGTATCTCTGCACAGTACTCAACCCCTGTTAATGGTCTGCAAGATCTAGCATCAGAAAACTAAATGAAACCCACTTAATCCTGCTTTTGCTGCAGAAGGGTCCAACACAGAGAAAACAGTGTGCAGTCTTGTCGTTAGAGCACGGCAGTGGGACAACCAGGGTTGTAGTCCCAACTCTGCACCAACTGCTTCACCTTTCTGCATCTCCATCCTCCATTCTGTCCAATGGGGACAATACGTTGCATTCATACTGCCTGAGGGTGTTACGTGCAGCTTAATTAATGCTTATCCTTAGAATGCATGTGACAATGCTCAGTAGTATCATATATAAACACTCCCAGGTACTGAGGGTATATTCACCTTTCTTTATGCAGTATTTTACACAAACAATGGCACTACACACTGAAAATTCCTGTGCAACTCTTTGGCAGCTGTTACTCCCTTCTAGAAATACAGGGGTGTGTTACTTGCGGGTATGCTTGGCGCAGCCAAAGTTCTACTTGTGAACACTGCAACGTACACGACACACTGTATTTCTCCAATGGCCAGCAGCTATATAGTTCTCTCTTTCCCAGGCTTCCATTGAAAGGGTTAATAATAATGTTTGTGCAGCAGCTATGCATGTTTGCATGTTAGGCTATTTGCTGGCTTTGCCCTCTACTGCATATTTCCGTAACAACACTGAGATACAGAGAAACCATGTTCTTTTGAAAGGGAGTCTCTGCCTGCTTTCTAGGAAACCTAAATCCCCAACTACCCAAAATGTGTCAACATAGCAAACGCCAAAGCATAACTTCTGAAACTTTTTCTTTTTTGGGGGTACAAATGAGGGGGTTTCCCCTCTGTAAATGCAACAGCATCACTGGCGTGCAACTTTCAGAGAAATGGCTTTTTCAGAGCAGGGCATTTTCAGCCGATTTTTGCAGAAGCTGTTGCAGCCAGGCTGATCAAGCCTGGGCGATTCAGCTGAGCAGCACGTGGGATCATGTCTGCCAGCAAATGCATCTCAAATGCCCTGTGCCAATGAAGAGCTATTGATCTGAGATGACAGCACCCATTTTTGCATGCACTAAAGGGATCTGTAAGAAGCCATGCTTTATCTTTGTGGACACAGCACTAAGGAGTGGATAGGGGCATTTGGTTTTCCTTGTAAGGAAATGGGATTTCAATGGGAGATTTGCCTGTGTGATGACTGCAAACACAGGGCCTGTTTTCAGTCACAAAATGGTGTATTTTAGGTTCTGCTTTTCTACTTCACAGATGTCCCCCTCCCCCCTCTATTTTGTTACAGCAGTGTTTGTTTAATTAATATTATTTTGCAAACTTCCCTCACTTACAGACCTTTCTTTCTTTTACTGTATTGTCACTTCCTAAAACAAAGGGTACCAGATTGGTCTGCTTTGAGCTTTGAAGAACTGAATATAAAACATACGTAACTTTTCCCATATAGTTCCATAGCATCAATGAAACAGGGAACATCTCATTTCAACCCTAGTTTAACATAGTTCACGGGGATCTAAAATTCCTGTCTGGGCCAGGGCCAACGTTTCTAGCTTTGGTGGATCCTGCCGAATCTTTCAATCTCATCTTTCTTCTTATTGCATCCAGCAGTTTCATCGTGATTTTAGCAGTTCATATTTCTCAAACTGCTGAAGTTAGATGGAATGCCTTGCCATTTGAATAGTGTGTTCCAAGCTCTCATTGACCAAAGGGACTGACAGAGTTTGGGTTGTATTCTACCAATATAAGCAATAAATGGCCACTAAGATTATGTTTGAACTGAAATGAGGAGAAATGTTAGTAATTGAAATGATGTGCTTGTTAAGCTCAGATTCCTTGTAGACTGCATTCCTGGCTTTTCAATGGCAAACAGTATTTGTTTCTTTCCGTAACAGTTTGTGATATACTGGTCTGTAACCGGACCACTTGTCCCTTAGTCTAATGTAACTAGTAGTGATACATAAGATTGACTAGAACAAATCCCTGCCTTTGTATCAGTTAAAAATTTCACTCCACCTTGCGCCAGTGTACGATTAGTAGTTACATGCTAGCAAGGAGTAGATTGTTGGAGTCACCTGATTTAATTTGCATTTGACCTAGAAGGCTCTTTATCTTCCTAACGAGTACAGGTTTCTAGTATAATTTTGTTTGACCTTCTTCTAAAGACTTGTCTCTCTGCTCAGCGACCTGGATTTTGCAGGTCCCTTAGGTGCTCTGTTACAGTGAAATTTGTCTTTAACTATTACTAATCTCAAGCTGTTTTCGCTCAAAAATGGTCCTTTTGGGGTGGGATTGGGGGAGGGGGATGACCAACACACCAGTTTTCATGTTTGTTGTGAGTGTGTATGGGAAATCAGACAAATTTGATGAAATCAAACCAAAAACCAAAAATTTCACCTTGTGAGGTTTACATTTCATTACCAAGCCAAAACTAGAGATGGGCAAAGCAAAAGGAAAGGATTTACTTTATAAAACCCAAAGGGTCTCATTTACCCAATGAAGGAAGGAAATATTTGATAAGTCACATAGAGCTGGATTCTGTAGCACTATTGTCAATAGCAAAGCTTCAGTCTTACAAGATTGGGACCATAAATAATTTTTGTTCCTCCATATAACACAGTCTGTACATTGTACGGGTTAGAACTGGAAGCTTTTACTTGGAAGGATTATATTTTAAATGGCTAAATGCTGATATTTGTTGGTTTCTCCTTTTTCTCCTCCATAAAAGGAGCGGGGTTGGGGAGAACGCCATCATTAACACTCGACATTGAGAGAAATGTAGCACTTGTGGAGAATTGCTGACTTCTCTTTTTTTTGCAGTCCATTCAATCTGGCAATCTAATATGCAAACCCATCACTTGATTGTCCTTCTGAATCTTCTAGAGTTATTACATTTGGAACAAATTAGTATAATTCTTTTTCTTTGTACAATTTCCTCCTGTTGCAAAAAAAAAAAAAAAAAATCACGAGGAAAGAAAAATCTCTTGGCGATACATTTGGCTATCCATCCAAATTCATAAAAAATTCATGAACTCCCTCTAAGCCTACTGATGCTATATACATGCTCAGGGGTAAAGCAGTTATTACAACCTAACATCACATTAAAAGCTTCCCTAAATAATTAAAGAGCAATATGGGTGTGCATTGTTTTGTCATATTTCACCGCACATGCAGAACTGCACCCCCAGCTTTCAAATGACTTGAATTCACAATGGAGTTGGAGGGAGCCATGAATCTCTAGCCTAGTGCTGGAGCACAAAAGGAGGCAAAGATTGGGGGAGTCGTAAATAAAACCCACTCTCATGTGGTGATTGTAGCACAGAACACGGCCCATCTGCCTAATGACAAACTTTCTCCTCACATGGGTTTGTCACATGGGGTGCAGGCTCCTGTCAAGGATCCATCCCTGCTGATGATCTGAATAATCCTGGGAGCAAACAATGGTGGGTTTTATTAGCGTATGCAGGTTCCAAGAAAGAGCATAAGTGGAGCCAGCGTGCCATGAAGAAACCATTATGTACCGGTCTCTCTCTCTCTCGTTTACTTTGGATTAATTAGCCTATTAACTCCAGCAGCCAGTGTGTCTGCTGCATTTTCCATCTATTTTACTTGAGCAACTGTGCCACACCCCTGGGACTCCATCCTCTGACCACATCTTTAGTATCCATAGAGGGAAGTGGCAGTGCACGGCTTTAGAGAGAAAGAGCCTGGGTCACAAAACTCAGGGTCTATTTGGATCAGAGCCTAGTTTGTCCTCAGATGAGTTGAGGGTGAGGTGACTTTGCAGGTCTGGTTTACAGATTATTAATCCCATGTTTTAGGGAGAGTGAGTTGTCTAATGGTTTAGAGCAAGGGGAATGGAAATGGGGGACTAGAGGGACTCCTGTGTTTTATTCCTGATTTACTGTGTGAACTTGGGCAAATCAGCACTAGATTTTCATACGTTGGCTTCCAGATTTGGTGGGTGCAATTTTGCCCTGCCATTTAAGTAGCTTACACAGCAAACTTTTCAAAAGTGGCCTTTGATTTCAGAGAACCTGCAGTTCCCATTAACCTGAGCAGTCGATGCTCAGCACTTGAAAGCCAGACCTAAAGTGTCTCCCGTTGGGCATTGAACATCAGAGGCTCCACTTGAAATTGTTGGCCTTAGTAGCTAAAATCCTTGACTGAGCCTGCAAATTGGGACCATACATAGGTGGCTAAATAAGGTAAGCTGCCAAATTTCATAATTCTGTGCTGGCTAAAATGTATAGTAGAGTTTTCAAAAGCACCTGTGTGACTTAAGAACACGGGTCCTATTGGAAGGTCCTTGAAAGTTAATGGGACTTGTGCTCCTACATCAATTAGGTGCTTCTAAAAATCCCACCCCTGGACTCTTAATTTCCCTGTGGCTCCGTTTACGTATCTGCCAACTGGGTACAATGATATATTCTCAATCAGGACAGGATTAGTTAAAGTGTTAAAGTGTTTTCAGATCCCCAAGAGCCTGACACTTGTAAAGGTTTAATACTTGAGTGTAGCTTTTAATGCCCCCTTGCCACTCATTTCAGACTCACTCCCTGTCTGCCCATCACCTGACAGTGTCTTTAATGTTCCTGATATTCAGAGAAGCTCTGATTCTCTGTCAAAGTCACCCTTTATCCTTCTTCAGTCTGGAGTCAGTCCTCATTAAGGGCTAGAATTCAAAGGACAGAAAATGTCCCCTTTCCCCCTCCCTCCCAAATTACCAGCTGAGCTATTCTTTAAGATTCATTTCATATTAAAAACCAAATGAGGTGTTCGCTTTGTATCGTCGGTCCTATCACAGGCAGATTAAGGCTAAATCCCCCAAACCTGGGGATGCGTTCTCCTTCCCAGTTCCTCCAGCTGGATTCTCGCCTTCCTCTCACTTTTGATCTTAGTGGTGCAGCATGGGGTTGCTGCCTGATAGCCTGCTTCTTTCTCACAGCTCCGTCTGGGGTCCCTTTGAGCTATGGGGTTTCAGGATCAAAGCATCCTGCATTTACCTGTCCCTAGTCTGCCTCAGGCTTGACATGATGATTCATTTTTGTAAGCACTGCAAACACACCCCGAATCTCTCTCACTGACTTTAATGGCAGTTGCATAATGCATTATCCTGATGCAAGGTGATGGCACTACCCTGGGGTATTGTTTCCAATGGAGCTATCACGGATTTGGGGCAAATACTTCATGTCATCACTGTCAGCCGAAGCTGAGAGGCACAGCTCAGACTGTTAATAACTAGACCATCACCCTGGAATGTGAAGGACACCTCCAGCAGCAGGAGCACTCTAATAACTGCACTCCACCTGTTTGTTTTTTAAATACACGAGGATCATAGCCTAATGTGAGGATTAGTAAATAAACACACATCAGCCAGCGTAATACAGTGTTAGCCATTCATACAAGATCAGTAACCCAAGCACCAAGAAAGGGGCATTGAGGGGACCAGACCCTAAATCCCTGGAAGTGCATTGGGTGCAAAATAGACCTTTAAGAATTTAGCAGGAGGCACACTTTAGTGGTATGAAAGCAGGACCGGGAGGCAGGAACTTCCGAGTTCTAATGCCAGCTTTGCCACTGACTCCTCTGTCCTTGAGCAAGTTACTTCTTTCTGCCTTGATTTCCCCCTGAATAAAATGGGATACGGGTGCCTCACAGGGAAGCTGTGAGAATTCATTAGCTAATATTGGTTCCTACTCTGGATGTTTTCATTGGGTGTGTTCAAAACTCTGTATTCAGAAGGTTGTCCTTTTAGGGACAATTGAGTTAATATTGCCAGTAGCCACACTGTTCTCTTGAGCTTCAGAAAAATGCAAGGAATCTGCAGGGATAGCGCTGTTAATTTTTCTAGGCTTTTGTACCTTATAGCCACAGGGCATAAGAAACACCCCTGATCTTATAATTGGCTAAGAGGAAGAACTGCAGGATAGCAGTCCTCTCCTCTCAAAGAGGCACTTGTATTGTGGTGGCCTAATCAAATAAGAAAGGGCTTTGTTATTCTGTGTCTCATACACACCAAGCAAGTTCTGTGGTTCTTTGACTTGAGCTCTGTTTCTGACACACTGTATTTTCTCTGGATTGTCTCACATGTTGTTTGGCATTCTTGCTTCTTCATCAACATCAATCAAACCTTTGACAAGGGAGTGGCAGGAGGCTTTCGATGGCTGTGCTTGTGCATGACGCTGGCTGTCATTCTGTTTGTATCTGAGTGCTAAAGGTCTGTTGCTGACACGATATTGTGAAAAGGGAAGCCATGCTGTCTTGCTTCCATATTGTCAACAGTTTCATTTTCTGTTTGAGTGGGTTACTGGGATTTTCAATGTCTGTTTGGTATTTATTCAGTGACGTGCCGTAAGGGGAAATTGGCAGGGAGATGCACTGAGAGATTTAACGGTTCTATTCCATCTCTGAGCTCTAAGAGTCTAATTTTTGGACCACCGGAAATGTTCTGGTTTTACAAATATTTTGTGGGTGGGACTCTTTGGGTCTAGCTGCTTTGAAACCAACAAGATACACAATATGTGCACACAACCCTTCTATGGGTCTCTGGGAAGCCCACTGAGGCACATGCTGATTCTTAAGCAATGAGGGACCCTGGAATACAGCAGAGTCATGTGCAAAGAAGCATCTCTTTCAAGAACCAAAATAATGCCTTAGTTCTGCAGTCGGGCCCTCAGGGAGCCCCTCTGAAATCAGTTGGGGTCTACTTGGGCACAAGACCTGCCAAACTGCAGACCCAGGTAAAGTGAAAACGAGGAAGTGGCAAAGACCTGGTTTTGTTCTGGGCTGTCTTTTTAGACTCCTCCCCTAAAGTTGGTTTTATTTGGATAAAGGTCATATTTAAAATAGGTCCTCTACTAATTCTCACTCATAACCAGGAGAGGCATTGCATGTCACCAAATCACAAGAATAAGCAAAGCAGAATTTTATAAAAACCTAGGATACTTCAGTACAGGGATCGCAAAGCAAATTTTTGATGAATTATTCTGACAATTACTGTTTAATTTTAGACCAAATCCAAATTTAGCCAAAGGCAATAACCCTTTGAGGGTTAGGTTATCCAGTGCTGGTGCAAATATTTCACATGGCCTGACCTTCATTCATAGCTAGAAGCATTTGGACAAGCATCTCCAAATAGCAAAATAACCCTCATATCTACCTTGGTAATAGATTTTAAGGCCAGAAGGGACCATTGTGATCAACTTGTCTGATCTCTTGCGCAACACAAGCCATAGGATTTCACCCAGTGAGTCCTATTGACAAGGACCATCTACGGTCATCTACCTAGCTAAAGGCACTGGCTGCTATTCTCCCATTCAAATCTTTTGAGGATTAGGGTCCTGATTTATCCAAAAAGTGTGTAGACAAATCCAAAAAGTGAAAGGATTTCTTAAATACCGTAACTCAGCCTGTGGAGAAAAAAGCACAGAAAAAAAAACACCACTCTCCACCTACTGGACCATCAGTCGATAGGGTTCAGTATTCTTTAGATTTGCATCACAACCACTGAGGGACTAGGAGAGAATGGGGTGTATCCTTCCTTGCTGGGTGTGTGCATTATATCTGTCTAGATCCCCTTTTCTCTCCTGAAATACAGCAAAAGGGGGATCTGGATGGAGTGAGGGGGAAATGGGTTTATAGAAAACCTAGACTATGCAAGCCTCATCTTAAATAAATAAATAGAAAAGGCAGGTGAGGGGAGGCAAAGCTGAAGCCATCCCCCACCAGATTAAAACAGAAAGCTGCATCCCCATCCTACAAATGCCTCTTCAGCCCCAACAGGCTCCAGCATCTTTAAGACGAGCTAGAATGGAAACAGTTAAAGTGTCTGCTGGCAGAATGCTGTCAGCTCAGAAATGCTGTTGGTCTAGTTCAGGGGTGGGCTACGCTAATTGAATTTTGCTTTCCTAGTCTGTGACAAACTGGATTATTATATTTTGTTAAGAGTTAAATCTTATTTAAAGGAGACTTGACTGCTCTGAGCTAACGTCTCTTCTCAGTTACATTGGGTGTAAAGTGGGGAGCAGAAACTGGCCCTTCTGTTCATCTTCCAAGAGGACATAAGTAGGTCACCTTTTTTTTTTTTCTGTCATTCCAATTATGGCAGTTCTTGCTGTTTAATGAGTAGAGGTGGTGGTAGGGATTTAAGGCAGAGCAGCCGAAAAAAGAGGCAAGTTGTTAAGCATGGGAAAGGGAATAAAACCAACAGCCAGCCCAAAACAACACTGGGGGCTATTTGTTTGGGGCCTGAGCTCACCCACTTCCTGCTGCGTTTCACGTGTTTGTTCTCACTCACCTACAGAATTTTTGCGTGTCCCTTTATCCAAGAGATTCCAGGCACCCCCACACACCCGCCTCTGCTGGCGCTGAAGTGCATGACTGTTGCTAAAAATGTGCACTTGGAAAGAAAATGAAAACTAAGCTTCATTCTCTCATTTCAGATGGTTCGGTTTGTTCCCCCCTCCCACCAACTCCTGTTTTTCTCTGTGTCGTGCCGCGCCACTCTGCTTTCTCTCTCGTGCGTGCGTTTAGCCTTTGGGGATGGCAAGAGTTAAGGATATAACCTCTTCTAAAACTGCAGTTTTTACATTTCCCTCTCCCAGCTGCAACCTCGTTGCCTACAACTACAGTCAGTCTAACCAGCACTACAACCATCGCCACAACCACCACCACAGCTGCCACAACCACTACAACCGTCGCCAGCACTACAACCACTACGGAGAGTGCTCCGACAGCCACCACTAAGCAGGACTTTGGTACTACGCTTTCCTATTTCCTCTAACCCACCTAACTGTAGCTGGGCCTTTCACCTATTTCATGTCCATACTCAGGTTTAAACGACAAGCCAAGGATGGAATTTAACCCAACAAGTGGGGGACTTCTTAGTGCTTTGGGGATGGCTTAGCAAGAAATCGGAGGAAATGGGACATAGGTGTCAAAGCACAGGACTAGTTTACAGGCGTTTGGGTTCTAATCCAACTCACTGTGCCTCAGTTTGTCCATCTTTACAATAGGAATAATATCACGCTCCCAGGAGTGGTGTGATTTTAATTAACAAATGCAAAACATTTGAAATAATTAGGTGGAAGACAATACAGAAGGTCACAAAGTATTATTAAATCTTCTATTACCATCTCAGAAAAGGGATTCTATTATTATTATTATAAAGAATTCCACTTCAAGTAAAGCACAGCAACTGAGGTAGCAGACCCATTATTGTGCATGGGATTCTTTTGGTTTATGCTTACCACTCTCTTTGTAGTACAATCTAGATATATAGCCCATGGGAAATTTGGGGAAGTATTTAAAATTGCAAGATGCAGACAAATTCCATCTTTGGGCCAGGATCAATTTATCCCGTGTCTCTGCTGGGAGGACTACATCCTGCATTTACATGGGGATAGACTCTCTAATGTAACAGGATTCTAAATATCCTTAATCTATTGACAGGGAAAATGGAGAGAGGTCTCTGTTGCTTTTTAAAAGAGAAGTTACAGTAATTGCATCTCTGGTAAATAGACTGGTACTTACAGATAAATCACTACATTATCATTTGTATTCACTAATCCAAAAAGTGCACTAAGCTTGTGGCAGAAGCGAATACAGTCAAAATAGTTCATAGTTAAGACGCAGTTCCTGTAGACAACTGTACAGGTAAGAATCACATGTGTATGTTGTTCCTCTTCATAGAAGAAAAACATCACACTAATTAGTAATGAAAATAAAGAGGCTTCTTTATTGGGGCTGCTAGATGCAGACAGAACCTATGCTTCTCTCTAGCTCCTAGAGTAGCTAAATGCCTTGTCTACATGATAAAGTTACACCAGTTTAACTCAAGATGTTAAACCAATGTAAACCCCTGTCTATTCACCCACATATCAGTTGAGCTGAAATTGATTAGGAACATGTTTAAGCTAAACTGCAATAAGCTACTCAAACTGAAGTAAGAACATCCATAAGGGGTTTGGACTAGTTTAACCAGATCAATTCATACACCAATTTAAGTTGAAGAGATGCAACTTTCTCATGCAGACCAGGCCAAAGAGACTCGGCTGCCTAGTGTTGCTACGCAGGATTTCCACAACTAAGCAGCATAAAAGGATCTGCTACCAGAAAGGTCTCAGACAAATTACTACATGAGAAATGTTCTCAGTAATTGAAAATAGGCAGTATCACAGAAGCAGTATGTACTACCACAATACAGAAAAGGTGACACTGAAAAAGACTCATACCAACACAACAAGCTAAAGAAATCAGCAGTGTTCATCTCAAACCATGCACCAGAACATAAGCTGAGAGGTCATGTATTAATGCAGTTAGCCCAACTAATTTTATTACCAGTGTCGTGACAAAATAATGCAACCTTTTTTAAGAGGAGGGAAACAAATTCTGGGCCATCATCTCATGATTTGAAAGTATGTGGTTTTTGTTAGGTATCCACAAAATGACCGAATCAGCATTTTTGCAAGTTTTTGTTTTGTTTTGTTTTGTTTTAAGTGAATCGATTTTCAGCTGAAATGAATTTTGAATTATGAAATTCAAAACTGGAGAACATTTTAAGCTGTATTCTCAGAATGCAAACCATTTTAAAGTGAAAAATTGTGAAAATGCAGAAACTTCACATTAAAAAAAAATTTAAAGCCTTTTACAACATTCTTCTGCTTCTGGGAAGTCATTCAATAAGACAAATGGGGCCCAGTATGCTCCACCGTCAGTACAAGAACACACCCACACAATGATCCTTGAAGCATTAACAATCCTCTCCTATGCTGCCCCAATAACCTCACTAGTTACTGATGCTCTGGTTGAATTTATCTCACTATGTAGCAATCAATAGAAACTGCTGTGTTCTGAAACAGGAACATGTTGAAAAACTGTTCTCTCAGTTGACTCCATCCTCTTATTCCTTGGCCAAAGCCCAAATTTTACTTGCTATGCTCCCAAAATTGTCAGTCCCAACCGTTCAAAAATCTTGCGTGAGACTCCTCTCCCCCCCACACCTCAAATCATGAGGATTTTATTTAAATAATAAATTTTGGGATCTTTTTCATTTGCCTTTTTGGTTTTGGAACCTTTAGGCTGCACTCGGTGCATGTTTTCAAACTTTTCTTGGCAACAAGAAGGGTAAGAAACTCACTTGCAATCACCTGACTACAGCAACTGGGCTTTTTTTTAAATAAATAAATAAATGATAAAATGATGGGAGTTAGCAACACTATGCAGCATTGTAACAGTTATGACAGCATATCACTTGAACCCCAAGGTACATGAGTAGTCTCATTGACTTCCATGGGTCTACACACCCACACACATAAAGCTAACAACATGTAGGAGTCTTCACAGACTTGGGGCCTTGATTGTGATTTCTTGGGGTAGGGTTCCTGCAGCAGTCTCTAGTTACTCCATTTGTCATGGCTGCACATTGTGCATCCAATGGGATTGCATGGCCCTGAAGAATCAGATAAAGAGATGCCCTTTTGCAATCCATTTATATTATGGAAAAATCTTCCATTTTTTAAGAATGAGTTTTTTTCTGCTGAGTACAGGAACTGAGTCAGAAATCACTAGCATTTACTTTGCTACACCAAAGTCTGTGCAACTGTGTCATGTAAACATCACAATGTAATTTCTGCTAAGGGCTAGTCTCAGGGCCGGCTCCAGCTTTTCTGCCGCCCCAAGCAAAAAACAAAACAAAAAAGCCACGATCGGAGGCGGCAATTGGGAAAAAAAAAAAAAAAAAGCCGCAATCGGCGACGGCAGTTCAGCGGCAGGTCCTTTGCTCCTAGAGGGAGTGAGGGACCTGCCACTCCTGAATTGCCGCAGGTGCCGCCCCTCTCCCTTGGCCGCCCCAAGCACCTGCTTGTTAAGCTGGTGCCTGGAGCTGGCCCTGGCTAGTGTACCCTGGCAACGCTAAAGCGCTGCCACGGGAAATGCTTTAACGTGGCTTGCGTGGTTGCAGCAGAGCACTAGGAGAGAGCTCTAAAAAAAATCACCTGCATGAGGGGCGTAGCTCCCAGCGCTGGAAGGTGCACTGTGTACACTGGTGCTTTATAGCGCTGAAACTTGCGGCGCTTGGGGGTGGGGGTGTGTGTTTTTTCACACCCCTGACATCCCCAAGTCACTTTGCAGGTGCAAGATACAGTAACTGGCTCTACTTTAACATAAAGAGGTATTTACTCACTCTCCAAAGTAATATTGACATTGCTCAACTTGAAAGTCACTTGTGGTTTTGCTAGGAACAGCTTGATTGCATTATCCAACGTGTAGTTTGTAGACTATTACCAGGGAAATGTTCTTTCCCAGTCCCTCCTCTAGATTGTGGTAGTGAGCGCGTGCTTCTCTCACCTTGGGTTAGGCACTCTTTTAGCTAGACCATAGGAGTTATGATACAGCCATTCGTCTATCAATAGTGTAAGGCAGAGCCTCTCTGAATTTAAGAACTGAGTTACCTGAATACACAAGCTGTGATGCACTCTTGATTTTAAACTCACCCATAAGGCTGAAGGTTCAGAGTTAAGAACCTGCCAGGTTCTGAATTTGCCAGCGAATAAAACATGCCTTAAGCATTGTAGCATACTTAGCTAGGAGGGCATATCCACCAACTAATGCAAGGGGCTTTAACTTTTGTAATTCTTAATAACTTTGAAATAGTTTGTCAAACCCAGATGTGAGGTTAAGATCCATGTGTGTATAATCCAAAGTACTAACTCCTGTTCTAACCTGTCCACCAGCCACGAATGGATCATCCATATGGAACGTAAAAGCTTTCACTAACAGTAACTGGGCAAACATCACCTGGAGCCACAATTTTTCTGCTGGAACTGACTTTGTGGTTGAGTATATCACCAGTAAGCATCAGACCGCGTGGAGATACTGCAGGGCTGTTATGCCATTAGAGATCCTGTCAGGTCTCAGGTTTTCAAAGAGCCCTTTTAAGCCATATTGACTGCAGTGTATTGAAACCTGCTGTCCAGCCTGTTCATGGGGGGAAATATGCAAAGGATTCTCTTTGCCACTAAGAATGCATTGGAATCGTGTGTTTTGCCATTCTTCTAAATGCAATTACCTTCTCCTTTCATTTCTTGCAATGGAAGGTTCAGGTCCATGCATTCTGAATTAACAGGGCTCTCATTTGGGAGTCCAAAGGAAGCTGTAAAGGCTGCAGCTTGTCATGAGATTAAGGGCTATAGAGAAAGACCAACCAAATTGTGAACAAATGCTTAAGGAGAGGAAAATGAATACTTTTAATAGATAATCTATGGTGCAACGGTCGAAAATAATGTACCTGCTTTTGAATGAAAAGGGCAGAATCATCTGTGATCAGTAACTCCTATATAATAGATTTCGTTGTCTCTTAAAATTACGGGGCTCTACTTGGCCTGGAAATTCAAAGCTGGCACCTGTCGCAGTTTGGGGGTGGTTTTTTTTTAAATATTGCTTTTGTGGTGTCAATAGGCAGATAGTAATGAACACTGTTTGCAGCTATTTCCCGACCATTTCATAATGTCTGGTATGAATTTAAACAGTCTGTGATTCTTGACAGTGATCCAACTTTGTTTACAACATTGTTCTAGAGATGAACTCACATGCTACTTAGAATCCCTTCGATTGCCGGACAGTACCTGTTCCCTCTGTAAGGCTTCCACACCTTTAATTAGCAGGCAAAGCAACATTTGCAATTCTCAGCACTGATTTAAGGAAATTACTTTATCGTCTTCCCTTTTGCATCATTATCCAGAATTTGAAATACTCATCAGGCTCTCAACTCCCTGATGCTTGCTCTTAACATAGTAGAATGCAAAGCATTTCTCTGAGCTTCGGATGCTGGTCTCTTCCATCCCTAGTACTCTCTTTCACTGCAGAGAAATCTTAAACACATACAGCTTGTGCCTAAAATGAGGCCAGATGAAGAAGTCCCTCCTCGGGACAGGCTCCAATGGGAGTTGTGCCTGAGTAAGGATTTCAGGATCTGGGATATTCACAACATTAGACGATGCCTCCCAAATCGCCTTTCAGGAAAACTCCCCAGGAGACCTCTTATTGTTGATCCCCAAAAGGGTCTAAAGATGCTCCTGTATCTTGGAAAACTGCACCTATTCAGTTTTTGCAAACCGCAGTGGAGTTGAACTGCTCAGACAAACTGTAGTGCTGGTTTCCATTTAATTCTTTCAGATTCCCTCGTCACTGGAGCAACCATACCCCTTCTGTCTTTGGTCAGAAGGTACTCAAAGAGCTTTCCCGCCTCTTTATACTAGTGCCAGGCATCTAACACAGAGACTGAAAATTGTCACCTCCCACCGTCTTGGCTACAGCATATACCACAAGCACCCCTAGAGGGAAGGGCTGTCTGAGTTTGGGCTATCAGACTTTCACCAATCTGTTCATTCTGTGCTAACACAGTCTCACCTACCCGTTTAAATCACCTGCACCCTGATATGTTTCAAGCCAAGGGTACAGTGTGGTATTCGCCATGCAGCCAACAGGCTTTTCCATAACTCCTGCCTCAGTTTAAACTGGACACAAGTGCTGAGCCTCTATGTAGCATTCCCTTTCCCCTGCTAGACCACCACAGCGGTAGGCATTTACTCATTTGTGATACAGGTTGTCCCAATTTTCTATAATCCCCAAGCAAAAAAATACCCTTTTCTCTGCTGAGTGCTGCAGATTTTATTTAAAGGTATAAAATATGGCCCACACATGGTCCCAGGTTCAATCCTCGTGTATGGCCGGAATTGGGTTTATTACACATGCACTAGGGACTATCAGCAGCACAAGACCCTGCCCATTTGAGCTGAAGAAGCAGCTTCCCAACCTGCAAGAGGATCTATGTGGGCCCACCACTAGCAGGGCCACAATCATGCACATTGAGCCAGTCTTTGAAAATGCTTACAATCCTCAGCGATTCATTAACCAACATGAACAGATGTAGATTTCCATCCTGCAAATAAAACTGGTGTGAAGATGCTGCTATCAACCCCTTCTTCTCAAAGGCTTGAGAGACGGCCTCTAACCCCATGCCCTGTAAGTGGGCAGAATGGCTTTATCAGATCAGCGGGGGTAGACAAATTCCAGACCCCTCCTCTGTGAATACACTGCTCTGATTCCCCCAGACACCCAAACCTAAAGACTGGTTAACAAAAGAGCTCCACCGGGTTCTAACAATAGAGAGAGGTCTCCTGGGTGTTTACGAAGGCATTTTCAGTGCAACAAACGGAGGTGCTATTAAAGCACTGTCATTTACCTGTATCACTGCATTTTCTATATTCCCAAATGGGCAGTAATCACAGACACTGAGGACATTAAGATGTTATGGCCCCGGTCCATCAAATTATATTATTTCTGCTTCACAGAGAGGTGTAGCATAATGCAGTCGACACTAATATGTCTGAGCTTCCTGCCGCCTGGTTTTGATGTGAGGTTTCTGTTTCTCAGGTAACAATACAGTGAGATCTATCCCTGTTAAAGCTCAGACCCCTTCCTCTGTGCAGCTGGCTGACCTGACCCCCGGGATGACGTACCAGTTGTGGGTTTTTCCCAAATGGTCTAGCCCCAGTGAAAACTCTTACATAACCTTTACGACAAGCTCAGGTGAGATGGGTTCCAGCTCCACTGTGTGATGCCTTTCCAAGATATTTCATTCCATCCTGAGCTTTACCACTTGTGTGCTGTATCTTCTTGCTGGGGAGGCTTGGCCATGACCATGCATGGAGCAAATTTCATTCACTCCACCGACATTGTGCCCTCTCTGCCCTTATTATAGCCCTGGCTCAAGAAGCAATAAAATTTCCACGGTCAGATAACGTTGTCTCAACTGCAAGTTATGAAAACCAAAAACCCTGGTGCGGCCAATAATGGAACAAGCTCCATTTGAAACAAGGAATCCTACAATAAGGGTAGAGATCATGCACTTGTCACGCAGCTATGCTTAAAACATTAAGACAGACTCCTGCAAAGGATCCTGGTTGTTACTGCAGCCTCTGTGTTTGCACTTTCACTTGTGTGCTGCTTCTTGTGGTGGTGGTTCTGGCACAGCAAAGCATCTGTGTCTTTATACCTGGGTTATTGCAGTAATGGGTGTTCATACATTCATGACAAGATATGGATGAGGAATAACGCCAGGGGAATGTAATGTTTGTAGAAGGCCCACAGAGATGGTCACAGAGGGGTATGTGCATAGGACTTTACAGATGTATAAGAAGGCAGGTATAGTACTCCGGGAACGACATGTTCAATTGCATGAGCAATTTTCCAGGTTTATCACCTGACTGCATTTTATAGAATGCTAATTATGGGCTTGATACAGAGCCCACTGAAGCTAATGGAAAGACGCCTATTGACTTCCATGGTTGTTGGATCAGGCCTCATTTATTTAAAACCTCTGTGTTATCATTCCATGAGTTTTGGTAGAGCCATAATAGGGATAACATGGTCAGCCACGGATTTTGTGGCAGGCACCTCTCTGTGATGCCTGTTGAAATTTGGCCCTAAATATTTATTTGAAAAACAAACAATAACCAACCTTTATGTAGGACCTTGAAAGCAAAATATAGTGCTCTACAATCTCTCTTTAAGTAGGAAACCCTGAAACAAATTCTATTTGCACTTACATCATGCAGTGCTCCAGACAGAGATGGGGAGGAGAATTTGGCCTTTCTGTATGTTATTTGTGAGGTTCAAAGTATTTGTGTCCTTAACTATATCGAGTTATCCTTATACCATAAGATGCTAACATAACGAGACAGATGAAAAATGCTAATATTCGTGCAGCGTCTTTGTATAACAATGCACAACTTTGATAAAATACTAGCAAGTATACGGTACCTTGGAAGTACAGCCTGACCTTGCCTGGGAACTGACTCAGTCTGATCTGCCTCTTTCATCTCTAACCATTATCATCCTGTGAAAAATGGTGAAACCCACACCACAGTGTTCCTCTTATCACCATCTTTGTAAAGAATCCTTTAAGGACAGCCTTGGGGGGAGGAGGGTTAGTTTGACTTGGGTTTTTCCTATTTCTATACTACTTTATATTATGTGGTGCATGGAGTACGGGTGTTCCTAGCTAGGGTCATTTTTGTGGCTATGGTTTTAGAACTGGAACCTCAAATCCAAAAAATCCTAATTTTGAGCATTTTGGCTTCAAGTCCCTAAATCTGAGCTTGCCCCTACAGTTTCGGTTTTGGTTTGGATCCAGAATTGAAAGGAGGCTATTTTTCAGTTCAGATGTGGCCTGGAAGGTTTCCAGAACACCTCCAGTTGCCATACCTTAGCCTTGATTTTGTCTCTTAATTCTGAATCCCAAACCTAATCCAGATCCCAACACTACCTTCTTCACCCCCTCACCGTTTCTATAAGATGTGCCTATTTTCTTCTTTGTGAATAGCTGTAAGTTGCCAATTTTAAACAGACATCTCTCTTTTCCTGCCTGCCTCTTTACCCCTTCTTGCGGGGCTCTCATGCATAGGAACTAAAAGGGAAATCAAGGTCCAAGGAATCCAAAAAGCAAGTAGTTTGGTTGATTTTGATATGCACTATGCATTTATTTTTGTTATTCCAAAGTCCACATTTTCTATATTTGAAGGGCTCCTTATTATACTGGCATTAAAATTCAAAGATTCACCATCTTTATTCCTCTGATAAAGTCCAGATGACTACCCTCGCCCTATCACCATGGGATCCACAAAGCTATCAATCGTTTATGCATGCATGCATGCTGCAGTTTCATTTTTATCCTGGCTGGATGCTATTGACGTGAGGGTTGACAGCCCACTGCCCCATCATGTGCCATCATTAATGTTTTATGACAAGAAAGCACTGTCCATTTTTTTTGGTTATGTTTTGCAAATATCTATTCTAGAGGTTGCTGCTTATTTATCTGCATTCAAATTGAAATAGCCCACCTGCACCGCGGCTGCAGTATACTGCACTCTGACTTCTCTGCCGACGCTATTGAGCTTTTGGTTAATCAGAACAGTGCTTTCCAGTTGTAAGTGATGCTTAACTACAAATGTAGCTTGATTTAAAAAGAAGGGGGGGGTTCCTTTTTTCACCCCTTAAAAACGTGGGAAGGAGGATGCAAGTTTCACAATATGTACCAGTTACATTGGTACCTAGAAATCAACAGTGTATAAAAAATCAAACTAGCACTGGATGCATATTTTTGCTGCATGTCTTTCTGTGCGCAGTATTTTCTCTCTATATATATACACACCTCTCTATATAAATATGTATGCGTGCGTACGTATGAACACACACACACCATTGTCTACAAAAATGATCAAATACGCTAGCTTACAGTACTGTTAGGACAACATGTGGCATCATTACCATACAATTAACGTAGTATTTTTCATACAGCATAATTATAAGATGAGATTTTTCAAGACCACCTAAAGGGCTTGGATGCTCAATCCCTGTTGATTTTAATGAGAATTGGTTTCCTGGTTCTGGGCAGCTTTGAAAATCCTACCCACAGTTAACCCCACATGCAAATTTTGGGAGCAAATTAGCTGCCATACAAGCAACAGTACAGTGAAGCCGACTCTAAAGACCTCCTACAACACGAAGCACAGTGTCGTGAGCTCCCTCTTTAAACCCAGTCCAAGATTCAGCCTTCAGAGAAACGGCACGTGAGTTTTGCTAATCGCCCGGTCAACGGTTTACGACCGATTTCGCTGTCAGTTCATAAACTTGTCATTTTTAGTCAAAGCATGTTTTGAATCACAGTTTATAATTAATTCCGGAAATCCAGTGTCAGCGCAATGGTGTTTCAAATCGATTCCTGTTGGATTACCCGGCTTCTTTCTTTTATTTAGCTAAATTGCTGGCCGTGCATAAAGGCAGATCAAAACATCCTGTCAAATTACAGCCACCCACCTATTCCCTTTTTTCCAAACGCTGTGATCAGTCACTCTGTTTACTCTAAATACAGGTTTGCTGTAGGTGTAATTTTGGCATCACATGATTTTTTGGGGGGTAGGGATGGCAATTATAAGCCTACTTTGACAGAAGCCCAGTTCCACTATCCTAGTGAGAGACCCTCCCGTTACAGTCTGTTTAAAACACTCCCTGCGGTGGCAAATCTGGCCCCATTCCACATAGTGGCATGATGCTTTTCTTTCAGGCGGTTTTTGTTTTCAGTTAAGAACCACTCCATTTCTCAGCATTGTTTCCCTGTAGAAATCCCATCCTGTTAGCATTGCTAATACAATTTCCTTTCATTTCAAAGCTCTCCAGTATAATTTTACTTCCCCCACCTCCACCACGAACATTGTTACTCTAATTCAATTCTCAATTCCATTGAATTATCTCACCCCTTTCATTATAAAAACTTGCATCTTTAAAGAGGGTTCAGCTCCCAGAGTGGGTCCTTTAGTAGAAAAGGAGCACGCACAGAATACCAGCTGACAGTGTTAAAGGGGGAAATATTTAAGCTGGCAGCTGACTCCCATTGAAAGTCAATGAGAACTGGACACCTAAGGACAGATCTACGCTACAGAAGGTTTGTCAACACAGCTATACCAGCAAACCCTCCGAGTGAAGTTGCAGCTTCTACTGACAAAAATGTGCTATTTCCGGTATATCTTATACCAGTTTCCCAACTGAAATCAGCTATACCAGAAAAAGTCATTTATGTTGGTATAACTGTGTCTACACTAGGGTTTTGGCTGTATAATAATGTTGCTAGTTTTTTTTTTTTTTAAAGCAGCGCGCTCAACCAACACTACCATACCAGCTAAAATTTCTAGGGTACAACTGGTCTGACTCCCTTTTGTGCCATTGAAAATCTCCTCCTAAAAATCTTGGGCCAGATCCTCAACTGGCATAAATCCGTAATAGAGCTATGCCAATTCACCGTGCAAGGTTCTAATTCCATTTTCATTAGTAAAAACTCCTTTTTCCCCTCCCCCCCTTGAACTATCCTAATTTTTGTAGCAGTTTAGCTAGAAACATCCACTCACTAACATCGGGGTTTCAATTTGATCAGGTTCAATTTTTAGGGAAAGCATGAATTGTCATGGCAAAAAAAGATATGGAACATCCTGAAGTTGTGTTTAAAGGTATGGAACGCCCTGGATCTGGAATGTTTAAAATTAAACCCATTTTTGACAGTGTTGACCAGTATATCATGCCTCTTTTAGATAGGCTTTTATGTGTAGGTTTCAGAGTGTATTTTTATGGTGTTACTTTGTAGAGTATCTCTAAAAACATCATGTTACCATGTTTGAGTACAATCCAAAAATGATCAGTTTGGGGAATGTATTAAGATGGAATTAAAGTCTGATTCTGTGGCTTTTGCTCGTATGAATAGTCCCATGGACTTCAACTGGAACACCGATGCAAGCAAGGCTTGCAGAACCTAATCAGGGATCATCCTAAGAGAGCTTGCCAACAGAACATGCTTTCCCCCATGTTGTTCATATTCTGTATCTTCATCTAAAATAGCTGATATAACATCAGCACTATTTGGCAGAGCAAGTCCTCCGTGACCACTTGTCATGAAAGAATTGGGTGATTCTAAAATGTGGGTAACTTCAAAGTTCTCAGGTATTATTTGACATTCTGAATAAGGACATTAGATGTGGTTTGTCACCGCATGCGCACAGTTCCCATTCACCTTACCCAAAGGGAAAATATCCTTCCCACCCCTCCTGACTTGAAAGCCATGGCATCTGATTTTGCAGTCCTTCGTGGAATTTTGGCCTGAGTAAAAAATTGCAGGATGGGGCCCACATACACTCGGTGCAAGGGCGCTTTTGCCTAACTGCGTGAAGGTTGGTCCAAAGTAGTTGATTAAGTGTCTAACTGTATGAGTGTGTTTCATTGCTTACGATGATCTGTGCCTATGGAAGATGGTACTGAGCACTAGATAAGCTGGGTGGCTGACTGAGCCCTTGTTCACATTAGAATTTGATATTGTTTACCTACCTAGGTGATATTAAACAAATGTAGCATATTAAGGATTCTGGTACTGCTTCCTCATAGCCAATGTCAGATGAACAAAAAACAAACCCAGTCTAGTTGAGGATGTTTTCTTTATTACAAGAGAATTAACAGCGGGCATTCGCTATCTTAGTCCTGTCAGAACGAACCCGAGTAAATTCTGGCTCAGATTTTTGATCCCATCAGAGTCAGAACCTGGCAGTCCCCCATCTCTCTTGCCATGAATATCTATATTTACACGGCAGTCTGGTTACGTTTAGCCCGCTGATGCAATGAAGGTTATTCTCTGCTCGGTTTTGCTGAATACCAGGTGCATGTTGATTAGGAGAGCGAGGAAATAACAGTGAGTTGCTATTTATAGGCTAGAGCTTTGTTTGTCCTACTGTGTTTAGGAGCTGCAAATACCCATTGCCCGAACGTTGTAGGAGGCGGCTCAGGGATTGGAGTTAAGTGTTGGGATACTTTTCCTTGCTTAATATTAAATTCTGATGGATGGCCTTGTCGTATGAAATAAGCTGTGTAACACAGAGCCCCCTCCAGCGAGGAGGCATACCATCTTTCAGGGCTCTAGGGCCAAGACTCTTCTTGGAATCCAAGGATTGCTCATCATGGATTTGCCATCAGGATCTCCACTAGGAAATCTGCCTAGGAAAATTCTTGGGTGCCAGATATAGCTCCCTGACCTCCTCACTGGCCTGGACAGGGTCAACCAAGTTCAGCACCCGTTGTGGCAGCGCCTGGTCACCACGTTTCCTCACATCAGCGGGGACGGCTCTTTTCAACCCGGACTGGCAGAGAATTTGACACCTTATCAAACAAGATAGGTTGTACCACCTAGGTACTGGTCTATACTCGGGCAATGCCCAGAGCGAGCAAGAGCGGTGGAGCTACACCAGAGCTGCCTTCTAAGCAAGGAGTTAAAAGTAGAGGTAGTCTGATTAATGGAAACTCTGGCTTGTCCTAGCTTAAGAACCAGTGCTGGAGCAACTATACCAAATGCTGACCTGGGGCTATTCCCTAAGAGATTCTCCCCAATTCTGCCACTGCATGCAGAGAGCACAGCAGAGTCAGGGAACTTTCTATATTTAGTGCTTTGTTCTAACTGTGTGCCAGGAAAATAAAAGCTTTTAGCTACTTCTTGGATGAATTTCACACCCCATTTATGGGGGCCGCCTGAAATATAGCTTTCTGCTTATTTCCCCATCACTGTAAATGGATGATCAAATCTGTTACCCAGCTTCTTTATTTTTCTTTATTTTTAAACACCCTTCATTAATCTGTACTAGATCCATTTTATTTATGTTGGTTGTGATCCTCTGCCGTGCACAGCTCCTGCCAGAATTTTGAGTTGACAAAGCGTTAAAAAAACAACCCAGCCCATATTCCCATGTCATCTCAGATACAAACTGATCAATACACACACAATGCAGAAACGTGGTTGTAGAGATGGATCGTTTGTGAACTGGTGAATTGGGTTTTCCTAGCCACTTGGCTCAGTTTTTTAGTTCTCTCTGCTGTTAGATTCTGCCCTTTTTAACTAGTTTTCTTGAAATTCCTCTTACCAGCTTATACCAAGAACCACGTGGACATTGCAACCCAGGGCTGGTTTATTGGGCTGATGTGTGCCATTGCGCTTCTGGTTCTGATTTTGTTGATAGTGTGCTTCATTAAGAGAAGCAGAGGCGGGAAATATCCAGGTAAGAGCAATATCCAGCACTGTCTTATTCACACTGTTGAGTTTAAAGAAACCCCTAAGCTTTCCGGAGCTAAGTCAGCTTTACTCATCTCCGCCACCCTCTTCTGAGTCAAAGGGTTTTTATTCCTCCCTGGGATGAAAATTGGCGGTACCAGAAAGAATTTCAGTTAATTAAAGGTGAGGTGAGCGCTCCGTGCTATGCTTGCTTTGCAGGAGAAAGGTTGCATAGTTCATTGCTCTTGTTAAGAGTGACCTGACATCTGCTCAACAAATAGGCTTCTCTCTCTCTGCAAAAGGATCTCTTCCTGCAAACATCTCATTGAAATCTTCCCAAGGCAGAGACAGGGCTTAGGAGAATTCACTCAGTGATGCCCCCTCTATAGCCATTTGAGTTGCTACACCTTGGTATCCAAGAACCATGGTAACGCTCAGTACCCGATTCTGCAAGCCCCTCCATATGTAGGATTCCTATCCCAGTCAACACAGCCCTGTAAGCAGAAAGCTTGCAGGACTGGGCTCCAGGTAAGATACAGGGCAAACATCCTGCAGTTACTCCATAGGAGATGAGAGAGAGAGAGAGAGAGACAGACACGTGAGGTCAAATTGCAGTATTAATATGGCCTGTGTTCTGATCCCAATGCAGATAATTCCTTCCAGGAAAGAGAATAATACTGACCCCTGGGGTTAATGTAGGGCACACTGAGCTGCTCAGATGAAAGGCTACTGTGCATGAAGTACAATAGCCAGCATTTGCCAACAGCTACCCCACGGTAATATTATCAGATCATTACTTCCCCTTTACTTAGAATGGGATGCATCTGTTTACTGTGTGGCAACAGCTGGCAAATGTTGATTCTTTAAATTGCTTCATCTGTACAACACTGGAGTCTCATTAGAAAGAATTAAAACCACGAGCATAATAATTGTATCTCATGCACCACTTTAAACCCACGCTTAAGGCTTGATAAAGAAATGGATACAATTGGCACCCTTAAAATCCTAGTGTGTCCCATTCCCGATAAAATCTTTCACGGTATTTGCAACATTCCTCATTCTGGGTCTAATTCACCTTTGTAACACTCCACTTTTACATCAGTAAAATCAAGGGAGTCATGCCGGAGTAGTGGTGGTGAATCAGGCACCCTTAACGCAGGAAATAACCACAAGGAAATACCTTGCCCTACCAGTGGCAAGGTAGATACTGCACTGTGAGATTTTACTAGTAACCACTGTAGACATAGGTGAACCCAGGGGGCCCTTTCTGGCGGGGATTGTGTGATACTTCTCTCCACTGACCCCTACAAAGTTATTCTTTGATTTCTAAATAAACCCATCCTAATAGAATGACAGCTCTTTTGGAGATTAAAAACATGAAATGATTTATAATGACTTTTCCAGTACATTTGCCAAGGGCTCTTGATCAGATGTGTGAGAGCATTGTCTCAATCAGTTTCCATGTCAGTTACTGTCCTCACTATGTATTCTCCTCATCCACCTTCCTTAGCAAAAAAACCCAAAACAAAAACAAACAAACAAAACACACCCACGAAAGGAGGTCGTCCTTGAAACTATGCAGCTAAATTTTTTAAATCTACCATATTTAACTTAACTTTTGCTTGCTTCTTTATCACAGTGCGTGAAAAAGTTGAAGTCCTAGATCATGAAGACCACAAAGTAGATGATCCATCATTTGACTACAGGTATGTCTCTACTTGGCATGTGTGTTCAATAAGCCACTTCTATCCCACCACCTGCCCGACTCAAGTTTCACCCCTCTCTATTCTCCCCCACCCCACATAACTATCACCAAGACACCGCACTGTCTCATGAATTACTTTTCACCTTCCTTTTCCTCCTCCTCCTGTCTCCCACTGTGCAAGATCTCTACAAAAGGAGACATTCCCGCCTAAATTTCCAGAAAAGCAACCAAACTAGAATGTTCTAATAAGGTGTCCTTTCTCCACCCTCTGCATTCTCGAGGCAGAGAATGCTCTGACAGCAATCACTTGGGACAAGATCATTCTCCTTGGGAGGAAACTGGCTTCAGACACACACAGTGACACACCAAGAGCCAAAGATCCTCAGACAGTGCAAGGCTATTACAGCCATTTGACACACTGTTGCTCAGTCTTTTTCTTAGCGTTAGTGCGCTATCTAGAAAAGAGATGTCCAAATGCTGTTCAGATTAGCCTTCAGAGCCTGTAAGAACTCCATAATACATATAGGGCGACCTGTACGGATTCAGATGCCAGGCCTTACCCTAGAGGATCCCAACAACCTCCACTGAAATACGCCTTTCACTGCCTAACAGACACTGCTCCAACAGCTGGGACCTACCCCACATCCTATCAGCCCCTCTCAAACTCAATGGCATCCTTGAAAGAACAGCAGCCAGGTTCCCCCATCCAGCCACGACAATACTTTAACAAGGGGCTAAGTGAGTTTCTGTGGATGTCTGCATGTGGTGTTAGGAGTCTGGTGGCACCTTAAAGACTAACAGATTTATTTGGGCATAAGCTTTCGTGGGTAAAAACCTCACTTCTTCGGATGCATAGAGTGAAAGTTACAGATGCAGGCATTGTATACTGACACAACGCCTGCATCTGTAACTTTCACTCTGTGCATCCGAAGAAGTGAGGTTTTTACCCACGAAAGCTTATGCCCAAATAAATCTGTTAGTCTTTAAGGTGCCACCAGACTCCTTGTTGTTTTTGTAGCTACAGACTAACACGGCTACCCCCTGATGCATGTGGTATTGTCTTCATGGCTCCACATTGGTTTCCTCGTTGCTTCCAAAGAAAGCAAAGAGGTAAAATTGCCAGCTCTTTAATTTCCTTGCCTTTTACAGTATTAGTAACTGGGATGGACCGTGTGCCTGCTCCTTAGCGTGTCTGTAGCTTGCTTTCACATTATGATTTTCTTTTACTTAAGTAATTGCAGTGAACCTTTCCATATAGGCTTGATCCAAAGCCCACTGCAGTCAATGGGAATCTTTCCCCTGATTTAATGAGTTTTTAGATTAAGCTCTAGCACAATATTCCCAGCATTACTTGATAAACTGAAATACCAGAGATGGGAAGGACTTATTTAAAATGCAAAGCGAGCTAGGATGCTTTGGTATCAAGCTGCACAGGACTGTAGCGCCCCAGACAGCTATATGAATAAAAGGCAAAATAATTGGATTCTTTTGGACAATCATATTTGTGTCATTTAGTAGCAAGTTGCTACAGTAATTATGTTCCAGTCGTGGCTGTTTTTCTCAAGAGGATGCCATGTGACCAGAGCTGTTTCATTTTCTGCATGGCATATGCAAAGCTACAGAATGCAAATAAACCCTCAGCAAAAACCCACCTTGGTGGGCCCGACAAACAGAAACTCCTCCTCCAGACTCTCAATCCCTTGCATGTTTGGGCTGTGGATTTAGAGCTCTCATGCCATGACATTGGAACGTCAGTTTGCACCAACTGTTTGCCTGGCCTGTCTTCTGTCGCTGCAGCCCCAGTCTGTGCCCCCATAGTTGAATGTTCATTTTGCAAGAGCAGCCTGCTCCGTGCACGCCGGTACGCTGACGCCGCGCCATCTGTCAAACACGCACTGGTGAGGTTCTGACAAGATAATCACATGGAAGGGACTTGCTTTGTCTATCACCTTTTGCCAGTGCTAAGAAGCCAGCCCAGATGGCTCAGTGGGACATAGCAGGGCTGAAACACAATATGGTTTATTAGCCTGCAGACAGCCAGAGTGAATTTATTCACTCTGAGAGGCTGTTCTGCTGGTGGGAAATAGTTATTGTGAGAAGGGTAAGCTCACCTTGACAGAACAGCTTACGAAAGTTAATTGCAATTTATATTAATGACTGTAACTTATTTTCCGTGCACTGTGTACAAGTCCGAGGACATCCCTGACCAGGACTTGAGAACAACAAAGGAGCAACTAGCGGTTCCATTTCAGGTTTCACCCTGGGCCCAGTACACATGGGACGGACTCTGGGAATTTCATCAGTGTTATTGGAACCCTGTGCAGGACAGACATGAGCCAAATCGCTGTACATCTCGCTGTTGGGTCTCAGTTGTTTAATCTAAGTAGCCACTCGGTGACCTGGCACTTGCCCTTATAGGTCGCTCCCTTAACAGCTCAAGGTTCGTTTTTTTCTGCATGGACAGGCACCCTATGGCACTTGGTGTAAGAGCAGGGGTTTGTCCTGGAGCCTGAGGCCAAAATGTTCCTTATTTCCACCCCCAAGCCGGCTGCATTGCAGGGGTATTTATATAAAGCATTTATGAAGCATTATTGACTCTAGGGCACCGTGGCTATTTAAAATGCTATCACCACCCACAGATGGAAGAGGAAAACCCAGCTCTTAGCTTGGCTGCTATCCTTCAGCAAAAGGAACAGTTCTGTGGGGCTCCATTTACTGCCCAAGCACCATCCAGGCAGCAGGACATTTGTCAGGACAATGGAAAGGGATCAGAAATGCCTCTTTATTGCTAATATGTGGTAGCCCCCACTACATGCTGGGTGCTTTCCAAAGGCTTAAGGACAGCCCCTGTTCTGAAGAGCTCGCCATCAAAAGGCAGAGGTCAGAGGGAGGGAAACAACAGACAACTTAGATGCAATTTATATATAAAAAACCAACAACATAGTCGGTTGTTTGTTTGGGGGAGGGGGGTGCTACTTCAGTGGAGGTATTTTTAAAGGGGGCTGTCTCCTTATAGTGTATCCTAGCGGTCACCTACCTCTCGGCACTATCAAGGGGTTTAACTGGGACAGATTCTACCCCAGAGCGAGTATTGACTTCGGCTCTGTCTTCACTACAAACGCTGCTGAAGCACTTCAGTGTAGAAACTCACTCCAGCAATGGGAGGGTCTCTCCAATCGCTCTAGCTAATCCTCCTCCCCGAGAAGCAGTGGCTAGGTGGACAGAAGAATTCTTCCTTCGACCTAGCGCTGTCTACACCTGGGGTTAGGTTAGCTTAACTCCGTCGCTCAGGGGTGTGGATTTTTCACACACCCCGAATGACACAGTTGGGTCAACCTAACTTTTTAGCGTAGTCCTGGCCCGCGTTATCTCAGCTTGTGGAAGAAGGTGCCACTCAGCATATGAGCGTCAGAATCTGGCTTTAGATTAACATTGGTGTAAAGTTCTGAGGTGCTCAAATCACAGGCACCTTGGAAGTGTGAAGTATCATTACTAGCACAGCATTAAACATGCAGTGCAGAACCAGACATGACAATACCATCTTCTAGCTGGATTCTCTTCCAGAGAATCAGGCCACAATGTCCCAAGGTTACAGAGAAGGGTGGGGGAAACAAGGCCTCCCTTAAGCCGACAGAGAGGAAGGTGAACCTGAAGAATTGGTATGAAGTGTGGTTGGCTGATTAAGATTCAGAATGGTTGTGATGTTAGGCTGAAGGAAAGTAACAAATAGAGTTTAAAAGGAGGACAGAATTTGAGTGGACGGGAGTTCATTGGTTTCCCTCCACACAAGCATGTCTGATATGCGCTCATCTTGCCCTCACATCTGTTATGCCCCGTGCATGCTGCTTTCAAATCTCTGCAGCCTGTAATTACGAGATACTGTCGCATCTCTCTATTCCACTGAAAGAGCAATGGTCACCCTGCGCAGAGGCTGAGCTGAGGAGCCTATTTTCAAAGTGGGAGACCATTATCTTTGGACAGCGTTCTGTGCCAGTGCCTATGCCTCATTCTACCAAACGATTCCAATGGAACTTAGCACTGTGGAGGGGGAAGTTGGCTGGAGAGCTCAGGGAACCAGAGCCTTTCACCTGTAGGGCTCCAATTCACTTCCAGCCCAGACTGACTGACTGACAGACATGGTGCTCTCTGCCAGCTGTTCAGTGACCTACGTGTAATGAGTTCAGTAGGTCTCATTTCAGTTCCCAGCGACAAAGTGTCGATATCACAAGTACTGCCAGTCCGTCCACTGCAGCCAGTCTACAGCAGAGACCAAGAACGGAATGGGCCACGGAGATAGAACTGTCCTCTCATCCCTAGAGGAGGTCCCACTGGGCCTTTCTGGGAGGAGCCTGCGGTCCCTGGACCAGTGTGGGTCACCTTCAGGTTCCAGGGCCGTCAGTGCACCACCTGTCACCAACATGACATTCAACTGAAAAATCAAATTGATGAAAGGGGTGGGAAAAAAAACAGGAGATCCACTCGGCTAAGCCTCAGCCAACTTATTCTAGATGCTGCCACGGACAGCAGTGACTGCAGGCCATCCAGTTGGCTCCCAGGACAGGAACACCCTGTAGCACATCTGCAAATATCCTGTTTTCTGACTGCCTGATACTTGTTTTTTAATTTGGTACTAACTTTTGAGGGGGATCCAGTGAGGTTCAGCCAGCGAGGAACGTAACACCAATTCCATTTGGTATAACGAGGCAATTGGCCCCTCGAGGAATGCAGTGGTGTTTCAGCGCCTGCCCCTTTAAATGCATACCTCATCATATCTCTCTCTGATCCGGCTCTTTCTGCTTCTCTCTGTTTTATTCCCATTCTTTCTTCTCCTTTCCACCTTGTCTATCCACATGGACCATGAAGGTCTCTTGAAAGGTAGGACCCATGTGCTGCCAGAAGTCCGGCACATTTAGCTTTTTCTTCGAGCTGTTTGTTTCTTTCATAGCTGAAATACTCCTTACCTTTTGCCCCTTTACCTAACATATTAAACAACAGTCATCTCCCTCACACTGAGATTTTGGGCACTTCATGTCCAGCAAGTTGCATTCCTCCTGAAAAACATTCAATGAGTTGGGAGCACCTATCAGAACCAGTTAAATTTTAAGGGCCCAATCTGCAACCTACACTTATGTGACTAATCCTTATTCAGACAATAAATCCAACTAGCTTCAGTGGGACCAATTGCACAACTAAGGACTACTCACATAGGCAAGGGTTGGGGGGGGGGTTCAGGTTCTGAGGAAGATGAATTAAGAATCCTCAGGTCAGCTGCTTGCATGATGCACCGCTGATGTATTGACCACAAGAGGCACTCAGTCTATGCACTGTGTGGAGGAGCTGAGGGAGTGAAGACAACAAAACCACAAGCAAAAAGATATTAGGCCTAAACAATCAGTCAGTTATACATATTGAAATCCCACCTCTCTCTCTCTCTCTCTGACCCATGTCACTCATGACCACGCTTCCCAAACGGTGCTGAACTGGGTGCTCTTATTTTCTCATCCACACATCCAAAACCATGAAAGGCCATTTTAACGGGATTAAGTTGCATCGATGTGCTAACGACTCTACACATCACCTTCCTAATGTACTAACAGGACACAATAGAACCAAGAGAGAGGCAAAGCCAGGGGGTGGGTCTGGAAAACTTCCTTGCCCTGGCGTCTGGACCCGCAAACACCACCTGAGGAAAACTTTTGATCCAGATCCATTTTTATCTGAACCCACCTCAAACCTTGGGAAAGGAGATTTCAGATCAACTGTTCTGGTTTTTGCCACTCTCTGTGTATGTTATTGGGCTTTCTAAAAGGCGGCACTGCTTGCAGATTTAAATTCTTAACAAAGAAGCTGCTTGTAAAGCTACCATGTTAATTCTTAGCGTGATGCCAAGTTAACACAAGGCCACAAGCATTGCTTTTGTTGTGCTACTGGATTTACAAAGTGCTGTTACAAGGTAATATGATAGAGAGCTGCAAAATGCTCTGTGGGACACCGAATCCCTCCTACATTATGGGATGCTGAAACCATCACTTAAATGGCATGGGATAGATTAAATGACCTAATAGGTCATTCCCAGTGCTAAGCAGCACTAAGCTCTATGGGCCAAACGGCAGCTCCCAATGTCCTCACAGGATGCACAGCTCTGAGGGAGGAAGTTGACTGTCAAATGCTACAACCTGAATCTAAATGATCAGGGGCAGGAATGGGAAGGAAAAGTGAAAATAGCTGTCAATGGTTTATCTCTGTATTGAAATGAGTTGCGTTGTGACGGAGCTTTGCCCAACGCTTTACCTGCAGAGTAACCATTTATCGCTCAGTTGCTGCTTTGATGGCTGGAGAGCATTACAAAAGAGTCATGAAACAATCGTTCTTTGAGCTTATTTGCTACAAGTAAGGAAGGTGCATTGTTTCCACCGAGAGCACAATACCCAAAGCATAGCATAAATGCTGCTTTCAATGAGGTACTGCCCAAGTGTAGGAAAGCTACAAAAAATTCCTCATTTTTCTTTCAAATGCTGGATTATTTTTTAGATTGATGACTCAGCAAAAGCAACTTTGGACCATTCCAGTTTTTTCCCTAAATTTTAGCTAGACAGAGACCCCACACACACACATGGCCAATAAATAGTGTTGCTTATTGTGTAGCCAATTTTGAAGCAGACAGTTCTAAGTTTGAGTCCTCAATTGAAAAGACCCACTAAGAGAAAAATTAAATTTGACATCTAGGATTTCAATAGAGGTAGCATCTCTACTGGACGTAGGAGATCAAATAAGGACACATTATTAACTGATATGATATGCATCCGAAGAAGTGGGCTGTAGTCCACGAAAACTGATGCTCTAATAAATTTGTTAGTCTCTAAGGTGCCACAAGTCCTCCTGTTCTTCTTTTTGCGGATACAGACTAACACGGCTGCTACTCTGAAACTTTTGATATGAAAGGCATCTCTTTCGTATACTGCAGTCCGCTCACCTATTATTCATGTGTATGAGACACACGTCCTTGCTATACAGGGGAAATGAAACTTTTTTCCTGATTTTTGTGAGATACGTCTCTGAAAAGTGTTTTTTCTATGGGCTTGCTTAATCTTTCTTGTAGAAAACAATATAGTTTCATAGTGTAAAATGTCAGAAGTGTTAAGGATGAAGACTCAAACAGATTAGCCTCAAACAGACGAGATGAAATGATTGAAAATAAACTCCGAGAAGTGAATTTCCACAGGTACTTGAGAGATGCACAGATTTTGGCATCCTCCCCATACTCCCGCCCCCCCCCCCCCGCAGTACTTTGAAAAACAACCCCCAATTGCAGGTGGGCGTGGCTATCTAAAGGACAGATTATGTCTGTGCAAGAGAATCTGAAAGTGAAACTCACTAGACAGAAAAGTGGAACCAACTATTTTACTGTCCAAGGATGACTGAAATGCAAAAAGTAAATAGAGAGGATAAACAATTAAAAGGAAAAAAATTGTAATGTTCTTCCCGATTGATTGAGCAAAGGATTATCTATAAACTAGGTAAGGACATTTGTTTTCCTTAAAAAAATAAAATAAAAATGAGGCTGGGTTTTCAAAAAAGTTAAGTGTGCAAACTGCACATGCAGCTGTGTGCCTAATATAAGCAGGCAATTACTGCAGCTGTATTTGCATAGCAGGGGAATTGTGACTAGCCATTTGCAGTTACAGCAGCCGGATTTGTTTGTACATTTGAATCTTGTAAGCAAACACACTGGACTTTATTTGAGAAACCAGCCCCCAGTTTGTAACAGTGTCCCTTGAACGCCACACTGTCAATTCTTACTGTGTGTATCTGTCTTCTGCCATCCAGCGATGAAGACAACAAAGAACCACCAGGTAGCCACACCTCCTTGGACGGCACCATAAAGCAGGAAAGCGACGATAGCTTGGTGGATTATGGAGAAGGGGGCGAAGGGCAGTTCAACGAGGACGGCTCCTTTATTGGCCAGTACACAGTCAAGAAGGACAAAGAGGAGACAGAAGGCAACGAGAGTTCGGAAGCCACATCCCCCGTCAATGCTATCTACTCCCTGGCGTAACAAAATACATTGAAACCACAACGACAAATATATACATAGCCGATGGGGGTAAAACCGCCGCCACCAACAGGAACCCGAGTATGAAAAAAAAAAACTACGAAAAAAGATCAAACAAAACCAGACCAGTCCAGGTGGTCACCAATGCCATCCTATCCTTAGCAAACAAGTGAATGGCAAGGATTCATGGGGTGCTAACGTGTTGTAGCTGTAGCTGAAATCTGAGCTGAACCAAAGGGGCCTGAGGAAGAGCAGGACGCACAGGTTCCACACCCTGGGCTTCAGAACTTGGACCGCCAACCTCTCCCCATGTCTTCTTTTTTAGATAACGCAGCGCTCTCTTTGGTTCACCATTTACACTGCTGAGGTTTCTGGTTTTTTCCTTTTTTGGGGTTCAAAGTTATTTTTCTTGGAGAAAGGTCCTAAATCAGAGAAAGGGGGATGGGGATACAAGGCCTATCCAGGTTAACAGCAGCATGAAACCACACAAGGAAGCAGGAGGGGTCAATCAGCTAGGAATAGAAACAACACGTTACTGTATTAACGGGACATTCTCTGGGACTGTATTTGAGATGGACGTCTTTACAGCCAACACCTCGCTCATAACGCCTCCAAAACAAGTCAGCACCGCAAAGACCCTTCCTGTAAGGTGAAGCAGCACTGGGCCCCAGAGGAAGACTATGCCCGTGAGGTTTTCATTGGTGCGGTTGGATCTGTGTTATACCTCTTATTAATGCTAAACATCCACATTGGGTTCTGTCACCAAGGAACCGATGGGTGAGATTACCCTGCGTCCATGCTACTTAGCAACAGTTTTTGGGAGTTTTTTTTTAAAGGGATGTTGGGGAAGAAATGTAGGACTTGATTGAAGACAGACAGATGCAGCTCACCTGACTCCAAGCGACTGCTCAGCCACTGGATAAATGTGGGAGACTCTTATTTTATTCTTTATTTTATAAGAGAAAAATATAACCCCGCAAACCCCACTACTTTTAAGGAAAAACCCATAAATCAGTGGGAAGCAAAGAGGAAGGACCAGTATTAACATAGGAAAAAGGGACTAAGGGTTGATATCATATATCCAGTCATGAAAAGATGGCACCTAACAGCCGTGGGGGTGGGTAAAAGAACAAATTATATTAATCCAGCATTGCAGCTGCTGCTAAGCTCCTTGAAAGTTTCAGGGATGCCCAGGCCTGTAAATGGCAAAGACGCAGGACATGGGATCTCCTTCCACATTATTCTGATCAATGGGGTGTCATTCAATTTGTTCTCAGTTAAAAATCTCCTCTTAGCCTGATGCAGCGGCCTTTTCCCCTTCGATCAATCACCCCACAGGAGAAATTTCCATGTGCTTAAGGCTGCATGTGGAACACTCATCCGTTTTGTTATTTACATATCAAGACAACTCAGTTCAGCTAACCTGCTAATACGCTGTAATAACATGTCTTTAAGGAAGTTCTATCATTACAATGCTCTTCCATATGCCTTATACAGCTTCAAACTTCCCCTGAAGTTTAATAAACTAAGAATATTCACCCACAGCTTAAGCCGCTGACGTGAGTCTGTCAGTCCACTAGGAATAAGGATGCCTGTGCAGCCCTTCCAGCTGAGAAAGCATGGATCATTGTAGAAGATAGAGTTTTATAATAGCCCGTACTTAGTGGCAAATGCCGTGTGTCTTCTCCCCATCTCGTGCACTTTTGAAACCAAAGGTACCTTTGCTGAGAGAGATCAGATGACTTCAGACAGTTTCACACTTATACAATGTTAAGCGGGGCTTTTGTTTTTTAACTGAAGAAGATGGTTCTGTTGGACATAATGGACTAAATGCAGTAGGATTCATACAATTGTTTTAGCTTTCAAGCTACTTTGCTACAAAGACATCTTGCTAACAAAGATGTTTAAATAAATAAATAAATTAATAAATGGAGATATCCCATCTCCTAGAACTGGAAGGGACCTTGAAAGGTCATCGAGTCCAGCCCCCTGCCTTCACTAGCAGGACCAATTTTGCCCCAGATCCCTAAGTGGTCCCCTCAAGGATTGAACTCACAACCCTGGGTTTAGCAGGCCAATGCTCAAACCACTGAGTTTCTACTAAAAGGGATAGTTTAGACACAATGTTTGCCACATTCCCTAAAGCTGCCATGATATTTAACAGTTCAACTATTTTGCATTTCTAAGAAAGAAACCCAAACTAGGTCCATTCCTATGTAACACACTCAGTCAAATGAAGCAAAGAAACAGGAGGGAGACTTTAGCTGTGGCAAAGAAGTTAGATGCACCATGTGAATCAGAATGGGTCACAGACTGCTGATAAAGGACTGCCAAAGCTGCCTCCTACGCATAGGGGTACTCCTGCTAACATGGTCTAAGCCACAAAGGAAATCACCTGCCACGGTAGTTCACTTTTTCCTTTAGAGGGAGAAAAATCATAACCATCACTCTGTTACTGTCAATGTAAATGCATTATACCCAGAGGCTTAATTCTAATGGACTCAGCTGACATTGTTCCATAGCAAGGGGAGACCCATAACACTCACTTCCAGGGAAGAAAGCAGCCACCTCTGAACGGTTTATAACACACTAAGCCAAATTTCAAATAGTGCTGAGTTTAAGAGGACATGTGGTGTACACGTCTGGGATCATCATTTAAAGCAATGCTGTACACACAGGCCAAATCACCGGTGTAACAGCCTCCCCACCCACCCACCCACCCAGGAACATCACAGGGAATGTACCTAGGAACCACCAAAAGCACATGCCTCTGTCATTTGATTTAAAGGAGTGCCTCCATTGGCGGGTAGCAATAGGAAGTTTTTATCCTCTCTCTGGACCAGCCACTAGAGGGGGATGAGACACAATTAATCACCATATTACACCTGCACCCCTATGGAGTTGCAAGGGTGTTATTGAGAGCAGCTTGGCCTGTAATTCATACCCACTATGTTCTGTCCCTGTGAATCACTTTACTGAGCCACCTACATAGCATCTGTTTGGAAAAGGAAAGAGAAGTGCTTCGCTTTGTGGCTATTTCACATATTGCTCACTAAAGCCACCATAACATTCCTAGATCAGCAGAGACTAGAGATGGTTACCTCAAAAAGACCAGATGAGTCAAGTTCCTGACACCTCAGCATACAGAACCCTGACACCGTGTTCCTTGCTCCTTGAGTAACCACAAAAGAAAAAAAAATGTAGGAGGAAATGGACAAAATGTATCCCTGGTTTAACTCCACTGAAGTCAATGTTACCCCAGAAATTGATCTGAATCTAAAAAAGAAAGCCAAGCACAGAGCACACATCCTTTATGGAGAAGTCCTGTACGATTTACTAAGGGTGAAAATAAGGGTCTATTGAAATGGAGTTTGGATCTCTGGAAATTAAAAAGCTATAGGATGTAGTATAACATTTGTGTTGGTTGGTTGTTTTTTTTTGAAGCAGCCTCTACAGCAGGGGTTCTCAACCTTTTTCTTTCTGAGGCCCCTCCCAACACACTATCAAAACTCCACGGCCCAGCTGTGCCACAACTGTTTTTCTGCATATAAAAGCCAGGGCTGGTGTAGCAAGCAGGGCAATTGCCTGGGGCCCCACACCACAGGGGAGACCCACAAAGCTAAGTTGCGCAGGCTTTGGCTTCAGCCCCGGGTGGTGGGACTCGGGGCCCCTGGCTGCAGTCCTGTGCAGCGGGGCTTTGGTTTTCTGCCCTGGGATCCAGCAAGTCTAACACTGGCCATGCTTGGAGGACCACCTGAAACCTGCCCGTGGCCCCCCAGGGGGGCCCAGACCCCTGGCTGAGAACCACTGCTCTAGAGTTTTGCAGCAGGAACAGGTAATTCTCTGTTAAATCTATAGGGAGGTTCACAAACCTACACAGAGCATAACATTTCCTATTATATTCCATAGGTCTTTTCCATAAAGGTTTATTAGGTGTTTCCCCAAAGCCATCTGACTGAAGGCTAATTAGAATTTTGGTGGCTAAGTTAATACATGTGCATGACTTCTACAAGACCTTACTGTAAAATCACCACAGGAGCCCTAGAGCTATTAACAATGCCTGCATCAAATATGTTTTTAGTTAGGTAGATGATAAGCCATTAAGACGACCTATGGAGCTGCACCGCAGGAGACATACTGCAGGAAACAGTCATGCTCTGTCTCCCCCGAGATGGACTGGATGAGCTAATAGGTCTTGTTCATCTATAATACCTGGCTGTCCAAAGAGGTCTGTGCAGTGCAAACAATCCAGATTCTCTCTCTTTTGCCCTCGTGGGGGATTCATCCAAGTCACCGGGCTGGTCTGTGCACCATGGCCTCAAGTAGGCAGAGCCCATCAGCTACAGAGCACTGTCACGTGCCCAGGGCATGTGCTGCAGTGTGCAGCCAGAGGGGCACACTGCTCCCATTCTGAAGGTCAACCAAGCACCTCACCATGTGGAGTGTCTGACCAACTGAGCCATCCTGCCTACGATGCCAAAAGGGCATAGAAAGAACATACATGTAAACTGGCATTGCACCGTCCACTCCTCTAAGCATGCCCTCTGCTGGTGAAGGCAGCATTTCCCCTAAACAATCTGGTTCTACATCCAGACACAGGCAGCGCTTTCAACTGCCCTGTCACTCAAGCCCTGTCCTGCTTGAAACTGGCAGCTCCTTTGTTAAAATTTGTAATTGGTGGAAGACATGAGGAACTAGAGAAGGGCCTGAACCAAAATCTCAGATCTGAGCACTCTCAGAAGCCTGGGAAAAGTCCAGATCTAGATCCAACCTTAGCAAGTCTGGACCCACTTCTGTAACATGGCAAACTAAACCCATATATATACTTGGGGAAGCTTAGCTATACACTCCATTGCTAAGGCCCCGTTGCACCCAAAGCCAGGGGAAAAGCTCTGTAGCTGTTTGAAATGTGGCCTTATGAGAGCAAGCTGCTGTTCCTTCTCCAGCAGATCCAGTGTGCATAAACGATGGGAGAGAAACAGGAGCTACATATGCATGATATTGAGGCTGCTCCTAATTTTCCTTAGAGACAGTAAATATAGGAGTTGGATCGATTGTGTTATGGAATGACAGCTCATAGTCTTGAAATCCTGCTTTCAGAAATGCTATTGAAGTCTAAATTGCCTGGAAACTACCTAGGTCATCC